GCCGTCAAACCCGAAATGCTGACGGCCCCTCTGCAGCCCAGCGCCGCCGCCAGAGCCCCCGCCGGACTCAACCGTAGGTGTCCACGGGGCAAATCCACGGCTCGTCCCCAAACCAGGTCCTTGGGGTGGGAAAAGACATGAACTAAAGGCACCCAGGGGTGCTGGCATCCCATTCCCGGTGTCAGGGATGCTCAAGGATCTGGGTTTTATCCCAAAAAGCATTGATGTAAGAGGGTAGGGATAAAGCAGAGGTGTGCCTGGTCTCACGGGCTGAATACACCCAGGTGTAGCATCAGGACCAGCACAAAGGGGTTAAAAGAAAACAAAAATCCCTGATCTTTCCCCAAAGTGAGCAGTTTGACCCCCAGAAATAAGGATTTGTCTCCTGAAGGAGCCCACAAGCAAATCAGAAAATGGGGGTGTCGTGTAGGAGAAACACACGTGGGGCCCGTGGCGTTGGCTCCTTGCTGTCCCCATGCCCGTGCCGGGGCTGTAACAGGCACAGCCACCTCCAGCAAATGGGAAAAGCGAGATTTTACCAAAAAGAGCACAAATTGACCTGTAAAACTGCACCCAGCAGCCTCGCAGGCATCGCGGTGCTGTCGGTTGGAGCTCCCAAATTCCCAAACCTCTTTTTGTATATATTTTAAATGCCAGCCCTGTCCCCCCCACCTTCCACACTTATAGTTTATAATTATTATTTTTTAATGCCCAGCTGATTCTGGTTATTTTTTATACCCAGTTGCTTATTTCTCACTGGAGCTGCTTTTTTTTTTAGCAGTTTTTCGGGTCCCATCCCAGCTCCCCCATCCCGATAGGACCCCGAATCCCCCGAGCGCCGCGCGACGCTGCGCCGAGCCCTCGGGCTGAGCCGTCTCGTGCCTTTTATTTCTTCATTTCTTCGTTGATTTATTTTTCCTGCTTCCCCCAGCTCTGAGCAGCGGGCAGGGCGTGCAGCCTGCTCGGGCTCCCTTCGAGTTCTGCGACCCTCTGGAGCCGGCTCAGCTCAGACCCGTGGCTTTCCCTGCCACCAACGGCAGCAGCCCGCGGCCCCGCGCGCCGGCCGAGCAGGGCAGGGGCACAGTGACGGGACCAAACCCCTTCCCTCCCGACACAGGTACGTGCTGCCACAAATATCCACTCGTCTCTACCATCCTCAGGTCCTGCTGAGGCTTTCTGGCAGAAAAAAGCAAGGCAAAATGTCTTAAAGCACTCAAATTAGGGAGCTTTTTGGGGCAAGGTCACCCCATCGCAAACGGGAAAGCCACGGAGCAGTGGTGCCCAGCTCTTCTTTTCCCACAATTGTGCAAGCCTCAGCGCCTGCAGGAGCACACCAGCCCCAAATCTTTGCTGTACTCCATTCCCATGCCCCCTTTTTTTTTTTTTACATCCAAGTTTTCCTCCTCCAACAAATCCCCTCCAGGAGAGGCAGGAGCCAGAGCTGCACTCAGGGTCTGCAGAGGCTGCAGCTTGCAGCTACGTAACATTATTTCACCTCCGAGGCAGCTCGCCCTTCCCTTTTTCTTTTTCCTCCTCTCAAACCGCGTTCCTTCCCATTTTTTTGACGCTGCCCCTTTCTTTCCTCGATGCTCCCAGCCCGCTGAGCTGCTCAGCCCTACAATTTCCCTCCCCGTTCAGCGCGGTGCCCAGCACCAGCCCCGCACGGGTCCCATCCCAGCTTTGCCTTCCCCCTGCTCGAGGCTGACACCCAAATTTCGGGACTGCGTGCGAGCAGCCGGGGCCTGATGTTCTGCTGGGGAAAAAACTGCAGTTTTCAGCAAAAAATCCCAAACGGGGAACTGTTGTCAGGCGAGCGGGGAAGGGTTGGAGCAACTGCACCGCGGCTGCGCTGAGCCGGCCCCACTGGAGCTGCTGCTGCCACTGCTTTTAGCTGCCTGTTGCCAAGCAACCTTAAGGCTTTTTTTTTAAGACATTTGGAGAAGTAAAGGAGCGCCGCCGTGCCCGATGGAGCTCTCCACGTTTCCAGCCCAGAGAGCGGGCTCGGGGCTCTTGGTTTTGGAAATAAAACCCCCAGCCCAGGCTCGGCCCCTGCCCGGACCAGGCTGGGCTCGGGGTTTCTCTCCCAATCCTTTTGGGAAGCTCTGCCGGTGCCACCTTGCCAAATTTTGGGGCTTTTGGCATAGGCTTGGCCACCTGTGGCATATTCCAGAACTGGATTTATTCCCCCATTTCCATCTGCGTGGAGCTCCGTGGCCAGCTGAGCCAGGACGCCGTTTGATCCTCGGTCCCAATTCCTATTTCGAAGGGAATGATGTCAGGTCTCCAGCTGCATAAATCTTCATGTCCTGGGCTCGGGCTCCAAGTTCTGCTGAATTTAATCTAATTGCGTTGGCTCCTCGCCCTGCACAAATTCACTTTTCTCCAAAATAGAGTCAGAAGATGCCGGTGGGTGTGGGCTGCTTCACCCCAAATCCCCGATAGCAACCACCGACCTTCAGGAATGAACCCTCTGGCTTGGACTAGATTATAAAAACCTTGCTGGAAATGTTCTGAAAAGAGAAATTTGGATGGGGTGAACATTTCCAGAGCTGGGCAGGGTCTTAGGGGTCTGGTGCATGCCCAGCAGCTGCGTGGGTGCTCACCCTCTCGGCAGTGACCATCACAAATCCACAGCTGGCAGCTGTAGGAGCTCCGACAGGGGACTCCTGGCCCAAGGCACGATGCTTTGGGGTCTTGTCACGAATTACCCAAGCTTTGTGACTTCGTGTCTCTGCTTCCTGACAGCTCCTGTCACTCCTTTTAAAGCCCTAAGCCCTCTTTTCCCCTCTTTTATCATTTTTAATGAACGATAAAGCCCCTGTGTCATCCCTGACCCATTCGCAGTGCAATCAGCAGACGTGAGCTGCATCATTAATGGGGGTGATTTCGTAGTCCCAAAGCTGATTTTGGGGTGCTGGGGTGGGACGGGGTGCTCAGCAGCGTGGTGCTCAGTCCCTGCAGGACCTCACCTCGCCAGCATTTTCACCCCAGCAGGTCCGAGCACGGATGGCACCTCTCTGCGCCCCCCTCCAGCCGTGCCCGAGCCCTCCCCGACACCCTAACCCTAACCCTAATCCTGACCCTAACCCTAACCCTAACCCTAACCCTCCCCAACCTTTGCTTCTCCCCCCAGGAATGTCTGAGCTGGAGATGGGGGTGCCGGATCACCAGTTTGGACAGCCGGGCATGGGGGAGCAGCTCCCGTGGACGGAGAGCAGCATGGCACCCATGAATCGAGGCGCTCTGAGTAAACCCGATGAGTAAGTACCACGCCTCGGGGGGCTGTAGGTCGGTTATTTTGGGGCCAGGAGGTCAGGAGGGTGCTGTAGGTTGGTTATTTTGGGGACAAGAGGTCAGTAGGGTGGGGAGCCCTGCTGATGGAGCTCCGTGCTTGCTGCCCTGCCATGCGGGGGGCACCTCGAGGTGGTGCAGCAGCACTTTAGAAGGCGAGGATCCTCTTGCAGCTCCCGCTGCCCAAATCCATGGTTTGTGGAGAGGCAAAACTTGCTCTGCTAATTAAGGAGATGAGCGCTCTGTTCCAGCCACGAAGAGGACGCGTGTCAGAGCTGCCTCTGAGCAAGGCAGGAGCCAAAGATCTTCTTCTAGGGGCTAAATCCAGATTAATTTTGAAAACCTCGTCATTCAGCCCAAGGAAAGGGTCGCCTAAGTGGGCTCTGCTGAAGTTCTGCTCGAACAGCTCGGCTTCTCCTTGCTGGAATGAGATGGGAGAGTAAATAAATCCCCGTTTAATCGAGGAGCAGCGTTTCCATCAGCCCGAGCAACTCCCCTTTTAAACCCTGGTGCTGCCATCACTTCGTCACCAGCTCGAGATCCACGGGGCAGACCTGACGAAGGGCAGAGCGGTTACGAGGATCAATCTTGGTTTTAAGCTCCCTAAAAGCTCCCGAAAACGCTGCTCTGCTTGCCTGATCGGGCACAAATGACCTTCCCTTACTCAGCAGCCTCGCGCTCCAAGCACTGAGTCAGGCAGCCGTGCTGGAGTCATTTGTTTCTCCCCAAGCCAGCACAGCTGCGAGGAAGGGAGCTGGATTTGCTCCTGGCTCGAGCAGCAGCAGCAGGATCCCAAATTGAGGCAAAGAGCAGGGCCCAGGCTGCTGTCAAGGGCTCGGGACGGGCACGGTAAGGTCACACCTCTGGCAAAGTGCAGGGGCGGCGAACCTTGCACGGTCCCCGGGTGTGCAGAGTGGTTTGGATGGCTCCAAAAGGTGTTTTGCTGGTGTTTTGCAAGTTCCTCGTTGCTTTTCTCAACTTTTAGGGGGTAGAAAGCAAGCAAAGAGATGCTTGCGGGGCTGGCTGATGCCCGGTGGGGCTTTTTATGGCTCCGTCAGGTCTGTGCTGAAAAGCCCCCAGCGTGGTGGGAGCCCCCAGTAAAGCCAGGACACAAACTGGGACCACGAGCTGACAGCAGGACGAGAGGTGGAGAGAGCGTGAGCTGCAAAAACCCAGCTTGGGCTCGAGCTGGGAGCGGAGGCGCCGCCAAGGAAAAGCCTCTCCTGGCTGAGTTTTGCACTACCGACGTGCCCCAGCGGTGTTGCACTAATGAATATTCGCTAACGAACTTCGCTCGGGCTCCAGCCGGGAGGTGCCCGCGGTCCAAGCAGCTGCTGGGTCCCCGGAGGAGACCCCAGCCAGAGCAAGCAGATCGTGCAGGGCTGGGAAATGAATTTAAGCGCAAGCTGGCGGTGCCCAAATCTCCTGCCTGGCCACGGGGAGCCTCCTCTCCAAGCTCTCCCGTTCCCCAAATCCTCCGGATCTTCGCTTCTCAAGCAGGCAGGACGACCACATCCCCTCTGCTGCGCCCGTGTCGCCGGTGGAAGCGGGGCAGTTGCGCCGTGGAGCGGCTCCAAGGCTCCTTGAACCACGTCCAGGGTTCTCCAGGCTGCTCTCACGCGCTCCTCTCATCCTCCCGAGGTGGCCAGGGCACGTGCAGGAGGCAGGAGAACTTTTGGAGCAGCTTTTGTGCCATGGGAGGTGTTTTCGGGGACCTCAGGGGCTGAGCTGCGCGGACGAGTCGGGCGCCCCACGTTGGGTGCAGAATCAGATTTTCACCCTGAAAAAAAAGCCAGAATGGTTTTGGTGGATAAAAAACCTCGAAGCACGAAACAAAAAGGACTTTGGTCACCTGCCTGGAGATGTCGCCAACCCAAATTTAGCCCCTCGCTGCCTCTTAACGTGGAGGAATCAAGTTTCTCCTCCCCTTTTCTCTGCAGGAGCGATGCGTTCGGGCACCGAGCTGCGTTCTGGGGCCTTGGGGCTTCGGGGCTTGGTTTGACACGGAGCAGCACCCGGCAGGGACCTCGGCTGCGGGGCACGAGCCCCGTTTTTCCCCTCCCCGCCTCCCTCTCTGCGATTTCAGAAATCCCAGCTCCGAGTATTTTCTTTCCCCCCGGCTTAAGCTGCGTGTGTTGGCGGCAGCGCTCTCGGTCAGGTTGGCTCCGGTTCCTTACTGTACATCTGGTCCTCATCTGGAGCTAAAAGGATCAGCATGTCTGCTGCTTGGGAACCGCTGGCATGTTGGAGCCCTCTCCTTTTGTGCCTCTCCGCGAGCGTGATGTGCCCCGGCTCCCTTCATTGTGTCAGCCCCGGCAAATCCGATCGGCTCCAATTAGTCACGTCATTGGAATGTCTCTCATTACATATTAATCTTATTCCCAAAGAATATCCAGCGAGCCTGTCAGAGATGTTATTTATTTTTATTTTTGTTTTATTTTATTATTTTTTTTTCCAGCTGAAAGGTTCCCTTCGCCTTCAGCTGCTTCCCTCCCGGCTGTCCCAGCGCCTCCCCGGCCTCGCCGTTTTCGTGCCTGCACAAGTTTTTTTTGCCCTGCCCAAAGCTCCCGCGGAGCAAAAAGCGCAAAGTTGCGCTCCAGAACCCACCCGAAAACCCCGTCCTGGCTTGGTTCCTCGGAGGATTTGGTGCTGCCAAGCAGCTCGTGGTGCCGTGCGGGGTGGGAAGCCGGCAGCACCCGGCGCAGCGAACCCCGCGCCCGGGGGGCTCGGCGACGTTCGGGTTTGGCAGGGCTCATCCCTGTCACCTCTTGGCCAACGTTCACGTGTCCCCTTCGGCTTCTTGTCCCCGCAGCCCCTGCATCACCTCGCAGCTGGACGAGCTCCTGTGTCCTCCCACCACGCCGGAGGGTCGCAACGACGAGAAAGCCCTGCTCGAGCAGCTCGTGTCCTTCCTGAGCGGCAAAGACGAGACGGAGCTGGCCGAGCTGGACCGAGCCCTTGGCATTGACAAACTGGTGCAGGTAGAGGGGGGAGAAAAAGGGTTTGGGGCTGCTGGGGTTGGGCGGAGGGGGGCCAAGATGAGGGCGAAGGAAGATTTCCAGCATCTGCCAACGGGAGGCCAGATGTGAGCGGGAACATCAGACTGGGAGAGGACACCCGATCCGGTGCCATTCCGCTGGAAACGTTGGAAAGCAGCCCCGTGAAACCCAATAGCTCGTTCTGGGCTTTATTTTTTTTTAAAAAAGCAGCCCCCCCCGTGAGAAAAGCCAGCCTGAAGGCTGCCATCCCCGCACGGCTCATGTGTCGGGGTGTGTGGGGAGAGAGCTGGCGGGGCCGTCCCCCTTCCCCGCCGCGCTCGGGGGATTCGGAGGAGCCTTCCAGCTGGAGTCCCCCCCCCCGGGCAAGAGATTCCTTCGGCCTTAATTACTCTGCCTAATAATATATCTAATGGCCTGGCTGGTATGAAACCCTGTGGCCGAGATTGGCTTACACTGCAGCTGCCCCTCTGCCTCGGATTTAACCGCAGGAACCAACGCCACTTCTGCCGCGCTGTCGCCGGCGGCGTTTTGGGACGGTGCCGTGGCCCCCGTCGCAGGCGTTGGCGTCTGAAGGAGCTGGGTTTTCGTCAAAAATAGGGCACAGAGCAGGGGGAAGCCCTTCTGTAGGAAGAACAGCAAGGGAGGTGGAAGATGGGATGGATGGATCAGGGTTTTTCGTAGAGCGGGTCCTTTTTCCACGCCCCGTCGTGCTCGCACGCGCGCTTTCTCCAAAACAACCGACCCAACCTGTGCCCTAAAAAAGAAACCCTCTGCGAGCAGATCCCTCCTGGTGCTCTGGGCCTCCTCCTCCACTGCTGAAGCTCAAGGACATCCCAGGAGGTGGCACGTCCCCTTTTCGGGAGGGACCTGGGGGACCCATCAACGATTCCCAAGCCAAGCATTTATTTGCCTTCCAAAACCAGGTCTCTTTTCTCACACCGTGCATCCAAAATCAACAAGTGCCTTTTTTTTTTCCCTACAAATGCACTCAGGGGTAGGGAGTTCGGCCCCTCTGGTCCTACCAGAGGTGTTCTTGCCAAAGCCTTTCCTGAGCCCCCTCCTGTGCCCGGTCCCCCCAGCATCTCCTTGTTACTGGAGACGTGGTGAGAGGAGGTGCCGGAGGTGTCTGCGCCTCTTTTAATCAGGAGGCGGCCGCAAGCTGGGGATTTTGGGGAGAAAAGAGTGAAAAAGCCTCGTTTTGGCAAGCCTGGCTTTGGGGCTGCTGTTTTAGGACCTAAAACCCAGTCCTTGAACCAGTTCCATCTGAATTTCTGGGAGGGAGAGAAAACCAAAATATTTCCCATGCTCAGGTCGATCTCCGAGCGGGGTGCGATGCTGGTTGGGCCCTGAGCCCTCCCGAAAAGCCTTTTCTGGGGTCTCTGCTCCAAAGCAAGACGAATTAAATCCCTCCCATCCCTCTGAGGTTTGCAGAGCCCTGGGGAGTGGGCGTTTGGGGTAACCCTTGGGGTAGCGCTAGCCCTGCAGCAGCCTGCCCGGGCAGAGCAGCGTCTTTTAGGGCGCTTGGCTGGGGCCATCCCCTACTCCCAGCCGAGGGATGGGGCTGCAACGCGCAGCACCGCAGCAATTTCTTTCAAATTAAGTTATTTATCGAGACAAAACCACGAGTGCAGAGCTTTGAGGGACAGTGCAAGGGGTCGGGTGGCGTGGTGAGCACCTTTCCACCCTCTCCTCCAGCGTGCCGGGCTCGAGCTCATCCGGTCTCCACCGTAAGGCTTTTATTTTATTTTATTTTATTTATTTTATTTTATTTTCTCTCTTTTTCCTCCCCCAGGGCGGCGGGCTGGAAGCCCTGACGGAGCGGTTCCAACCCCAGCAAGCCACCCCGCAGCTCCTGATGGAGCAGAAACCCGGCCTCTACCCCCAGCCTTACTCCTCCGCCTCGCCCACCGCCAACCTCCCCGCCGCCTTCCCCGGCATGGTCCGCCAGAAACCGTCCTTCGGCCCCATGCCCGTGCAGGTGCCGCCGCCCCGCGGCGCTTTTCCCACCACCATGGGGGCCATGCAGCCCCGGCAGACGCTCAGCCGGCCCCCCACCGCCCCCAACCAGCTGCGGCTTCAGCTGCAGCAGCGACTGCAGGGCCAGCAGCAGGTAAAAAAAACCTCCCTGGGTGGCCAGGGGAGGATTTAGGGAGCCCGGAGGGTCGGCGGCTCCCGATGTTGGTGTGACATTTATTTTTGGCTGCTCTCCTGAGTTTTCTTTTGCCGTTTCTCCCCCTCCAGCTGATCCACCAGAACCGGCAGGCGATCCTCAACCAGTTTGCAGCCAGCTCGCCGGTGGGCATCAACATGCGGGCGGGCATGCAGCAGCAGATGACCCCCCAGGTAAGGGGGACACGGCACGGTGACACGGTCCCCGGGAGCTCAGGGTGCCCCCATCCCCTCTCCTACGGGCATAAAAACCACCCAGCGTGCCAAAACCTTGTTGCCGAGGAGCTGCTGTGGTTTATTTCCCTTTATTCCATCCCCTCCACCTGGGTGAGAAGGGTCTCCGGGAAATAGACGGCGTCCCTTAAATACCAGCATCTCCGGTGGATCTTTGTAATGATCCTACAAATCCCCAGGCCCTAAAGTTCTCGTTTCGCTCCGAATGAAGCGGGTGAAACGCCTGGAGAGGTCAGGAAGCGTGGCTGAGTTCGGGTAACTTCACTCCACGTCTCCGAGCAGCCTCTGAATTTCCCTGGGGAATATCAGAGGAGGGCACCCGGTGGTTTCCATCGCAGCCGATGGCTTTGTCGAGTGGCCCTCTCTGGGAGCCCAAGAAGAGGGTTTTAGGCACAAAAAGGGCTTTTTGCTGCATCCCTCGGATAAAAGGAACTCAATGATAATGGGGTGGCTCTGCCCTGCCTCTGATCCGCACAACCCAGCGGATTTACAGCCCCCTGGGGCTGCTCCCCTCTTCCTTTCCAGCTTCCCCTCGCAAAATCAGGACGGCCCCCCCAAACCTAAGGGGAAGGGGAGGGCCGGGGGGTTGTTGCCAGCCATTTGGGGGCTAATTTGGGCATCTCCTTCCCCCCCTTACAGCCCCCCCTCAACGCCCAGATGCTGGCCCAGCGCCAACGCGAGCTCTACAGCCAGCAGCACCGGCAGCGGCAGCTGATGCAGCAGCGAGCCCTCCTGATGAGACAGCAGAGCTTCGGCAACAACCTCCCCCCTTCGGCCGGCCTCCCGGTGCAGATGGGGGCCGCCCGGCTTCCCCAAGCCCCCCCGCAGCAGTTCCCTTATCCCCCCAACTACGGTACGAGCCCCGGGAACCCCCCCACCTCCACCAGCCCCTTCTCGCAGCTGGCGTCCAGCCCCGAGGCCGCGCTGGCGAACCGCGGCGCCATGGTCAACAGGGGGATGATGGGCGGCGTCGGCGGGCAGTTCGGCGCCGGGATGACCCCGCAGATGCAGCAGAACATCTTTCAGTATTCGGGTTCAGGTAGGTGAAGCCGGAGGGGGCCCCCCCAAAACCCCTCTCGGTGTAGGTGGAAGGGGTGGTGAGGGTGTGGGGAGGTGCAGTGCGCTGGACGTGTGCCCCTAGGGGCAGGAGGAACGCAGAAATGCTCCCAGAAAACCCAGGTTTAGCCAAATATCGCAAGGGCTGGGTCCTGCTTGAGGTTTTGTCCTTGATTTTGTCTGCTCTCCTCGGAAAGTGGCGCGGGGAGAGAGGTGGAGGGCACAGCGGTGACCTCGGGGGATGCTGCGGCACCGCGGGCTCCGCTGCTGCCATCTCACACCACGTCTCGCTGCTCTTTCTGCACACCTCTACTAAACCTTTTCTGGTTGAATCTCAAAAAAAAAAAAAAAAAAAACCACAATATTTGGGCAAACAATTCATTTATTTTGTTTTTACTCTTCCCACCAAACTCAAACCACAAAGCACTCCCCTGAAAAGCACTCCCCTAAACACTTACGCTCGGGATCAGACCAAATCCTTGCCAAGACACCCTAAAGGAGCTGCAAACAGCTCCTGCATCTCTCGTGGGCACAGAGCTCTCGTGAAATCCATCAGCTCAAGCAGGAGGGCACGCTAGATTGGGTGCTTGAAGGTCTTCATGTCCTTTTTGGGGTCTCAGCAAGAAGGAAACGGCCGCCCCAGGGCGCAGCAGCCGTGCAGGACCCCCTTAGCCACGACTTTATCGCTGCCCCAGCCGTTTCCCATCCAGGTGTGGTACAAAATAAGGCCACCAGCCGATGGCAACCACTGTGGGAAGGGGGTTCCCCGCCCGCTCAGCCCCAAAATATTCACGTGGCAGCTGCTGGAAACGAAACCCAGCGAGCCTGGGCCCGAAACTCGCAGCTGATCCTCCTGCAGCTGCAAGGGGGAGGAGGAGGAAAGAAGGGGGGGCACCGCCAGCATCCCACCGCCCCCCTGGCTGATGCCCTCTGTCCTTCCCCAGGCATGGGGCAGCAAAACGAGCCCGCCTTCGCCCCCTCGCTCAGCCCCAGCAGCCCCCTGATGTCGCCGCAGCTCCCCCCGTCGCAGAGCCCCATGCTGCAGCCGGCGCCGCCGACCCCGGGCTATCAGTCCCCCGACATGAAGAGCTGGCAGCAAGGAGCCATGGGCAACAGCAAGTAAGGTGGCGGGGATGTTGGGAGGGATTTTTAAGGGTTTTTTTGGTTTTTTTTTTTTGGTTCCTACCCCCGTGAGCCGGGGGCTGCGCGCCCAGGCTCGGGGTGGCCAGAAGCCCGTGGAGCGAGCACGCGTCGGGCGAGGCACGGAGCAAATTTGGGGTTTTTAATTGTGGCTTAATTATGTGCTACAAAAACAGGGGGATTTAGGAAATGTGGCAATAAAAGGAGCTGCGTGTGGCAGTGCCACTGTGGCCCGTGCTGGTGCCTCTTAAACGAACGCACCCATGGGGGGGTGAAATCACCAAATCTGCTGCCTGGTTTTGTGTGCGAGTCAGGTTTGAGCTTCAAATCGCCAAAAATAGGAAAAAGAAACAAACCAGAAGGTGTTGCTTTGGATCTGGGCACAGCTCAGCTCACCTCTCCTGCTCAGGCCGCAGTGAGAGCTTGGGGTCAGAAGGACTTTGTAGGGCTTTGTATTTCTTCCTCGTGGTCCCCCCCAGCCCCCCGGTGTCCCTCCTGCCCCACCAGGTCACGCTGAGCAGCCCCGTGCTGCAGCAGGAGCAGGGCGCAGAGGTTTCCACCGTGCTCCCCAACCTTCCAGGGCATCCCTGGGCTGTTTGCAGCCCCTCGAATGCCACCGTGTCCCTCCCTTTCTCCATCCCAAGGACCTGGATGGACCAAAGGATGGTCCTTAGTGCAGGGAAGAAAGCGAGGAGGCTGCAGGAGCAAAAATTTCCCCTTCTCCCCAAATCCCACACCACCCCCAGCTTCACGCACACCCAGTTCTGCCTCCGGGGTCTTCATCCCACCCCGACCAGGCAGAGAACATCCTCCCCGCACCACCACCACCACCCTCCTAACCCTTTTTTCCTTCCTCTCCCTCCCAGCGTGTTCAGCCAAACCGGGCAGACGCAGCCAGCCCCAGCGCAGCAGGGGATGTACAACAACATGAGCATCACCGTCTCCATGGCAGGAGGGAACACCAACGTCCAGAACATCAACCCCATGGCGGGCCAGATGCAGATGAACTCGCTGCAGATGCCCGGGATGAACTCCATGTGCTCGGAGCAGGTCAGTGCCACCTCTCCCCTGCCCCCAAACGCCTTCCCCGGGTGATTTCTTTTCCCCCAAAGCCGTGTTAGGTTCCCGTGGTTCCTGCCCCCCGTGCCAGAGCCTGGCTTAAGTGCCCTTAGCCAGGGGCAGAGCACCCCCAGACTGTTCAGAGCAATTTGGGGAGGTGTTTGGGTGGTTTTTAGCAAATTTCCCAGTGTCTGCACCCAAACTTGAGAGGCTGGCGTGGAAACCTGCTGCTCCTTGGCTATTTAAGGCCAGGATGCTGCCACAAAAAAAAAAAAAAAAGGCAAAAAGCTCCCAAACCCGCTCCGGGTGCCAGGAGGACGCCGGCACCGCCCCACGCGTGGGCTCCCCCTCCCCAAATCCACCCAGGCTGGGCTCGAGAGGGCGACGAGTGGCTCAGGGGACCTCCAGGAGCCCTCGCTGAGCCTTTTTTTTTTTTTTTTGCTTCCCGCAGGTAAATGACCCGGCGCTGAGACCCGCGGGCCTTTACTGCAACCAGCTTTCCTCCACTGACCTTTTGAAAACAGAAGCAGACGGGGCGCAGGTCAGTAAGAAACTGCTAAGCACATCTCAGGTACAGAGAGGAGTTGGCCGTGCTCCCAAAATTCAGCCATCCCGGCCGTGCCGTGGCGCCGCGCTCGGCACCGGGCAAGATTTTGGCTGTGGCCAGCTCTGGCTCACGGGGCTGGCTCCGTCCCTGCCGCCGCCGGCGCTTGGGGACCTCAGAAATCCTGCTCTGCTCTCCAGCCTCACCGAGCCCTGGCTCTGTGCGCCGCTCAGAGCGCTTTTAAAATCTTGCTGCTAGCGCGGAGGAGCAGAAACGCTGCACCCGAGCTGGGAAAACAACTGCAGGGGGCAGGAAGAGCAGGAATTCAATCCTCGGCTCCAATTTTGGGTTGGAAGGAGCCGGCCCCGCTGCCTGGCACTGCCGCAGGGTGCCCGGGGAGGTGCCCAGCGCTCTCAGGCGGTGCCGCCGGCGCTGATCTGGGGCAGAACGAGGGGATTTGGAAGGGGAAAGGGACAGAGGGAGGCTGCGGGACGGTGTCTGTCCGTCCATCCATCCGTCCGTCCGTCCAGCGGGGAGGCCGCGAGGCGCGCCCAAAGCGAGCGCCGCCGCCGTTGGCTCGCGGGCTTTTTGCCTTTGACGCCGGGACCTTCTTCAATTCAGCGCCTTCTTCCCCAAAACTTCCCCCTCCTCGCTCTCCCCTTCCCCGTCCGCGCGGCGTTGGTTTGCAGAGCCCCCAGGGACCCACAACGCCGCCGCCGCAGCCGCCGCCGCTCTTAATTTCATCAAGCAGCCGCTCCGGACCACGCCGCTGCCTTCCCGCACCGCCAGCTCCCCGGTGCCCGGGGGATGCCAGCCTGGCTTTTTATTTTTTTAATTATTATTTTTTTTAAAAAAAAACATTTTTTGGTTATTTTTCTCCCTTTTTTTTTTTTTTTTTTTTTTTTAAATAAAACGAGCGCCGTGAACCTCGCCAGAGCCCTTGAGCCGAATGAGTGCAGCGGTTTTCTTTTTGTAGGACAAGAAGACAGAAGAGTTCTTCTCTGTGGTGGCTCCAGACTAGAGGATGTCTCTAGTGAGTTTCCACTTCACGTAGTACCCAGTCCGTCGCCTCCGGGCCCCTGCCCCGTCCCCGCTAAAACCCCCCCTCTTGTCTTTTGTGTCCCAGCAGGTACAGCAGGTTCAGGTGTTTGCCGACGTGCAGTGTACAGTGAATCTGGTAGGAGACCCCTACCTCAACCCGCCGGCTCCCCTGGGCGCCCCGAAAACCGCAGCCGCCGCCGCCGCCGCGGTGCCGCCGCCCCCGCAGGGCCAGCAGAAGAGCCTTCTTCAGCAGCTACTGACTGAATAACCCGCTTTTCGAGGAATGTGAAATCGAAAAAAAAAACAAAAACACAAAAAAAAAAATAATCGAGACGTACAGAGAGATATAAATATATATATATTATCTATTTTTCTGAGATTTTTGATATCTCAAACCGCAGCCATTCTGCAGCTCGTAGTGTTTGGAGCCAAAAGGGGGTTTGGTTTGGTTTTGTTTTTTTTTTTTTTTGGGAGGGGGGGTATTTTTTTTCCCTTTTTTTTTTTTCTTTCCTTTTTTTTAAAAAAAAAAAAGCGTTGGATGTTGGCGAAGCGACGAGGCGGGACAGTCGGTTTCTTGAGCCAAAATTACAGATGATTCTTATTTTTGTAATCAGTTGCTGGCTTCTTAATCTGGCCGAAGGTTTCTCGGGGAGGCGGGGAGGGGAGAGGGAGAAGGCAGCTGGAGGACTGCGTCGGGAGGAGGAGGAGGCGAAAAAGGAGGAAAAAAAAAAAGGAGGAGGAAGAGGAGGAGGAGGAAGAGCAAGCTCAGTTTCAGCTGGATCTGTCACTGATCACGTCTCAGCGTGGGGCACGGAAGGGGTCGACGCTGGACTTCTGCGAGAAAGGCCGTTTTTATTCATGCTTCAACAAAAAAAAAAAACCTTCTCTCCCCTCTGCCCCAGCCCGCTTGTGCGTACAATCAGCTTTTTCTAGCAATCGTGAGTTTGTCGGTTTTAAAGAAAAAAAAAAAAAAACAGAGTATTTTGACCCACCATTTTTTCCATGTTTTATGCTGGTTTAAAGGCCTCCTAGCGAACAGAGGCCACGACGTGTATATTACAACAGGAAAAAGTAAAAAAAAAAAAAAGACAAAAAAAATGACAAAAAAAGAACAGTTTGGGGAAAAAACTGCAATAATTTTTAGGGGGAAGGACGGGGGGGGCGGGGAGGGGTCTGTCAATTATTGTAGATAAAATTTTCTGATTAAATATTAAATAAAATTAAGCAGTCGGTTCTTTCTGCTTTGATTGTGTTTAACAGCTGAGGTAGCTTAAACTATTTAAAATAATAATAATAAAATAATAATAATAATAATTGAAGTCTCTGTTGGGAGATACAGCTTATTATTATTTTTTTTTTTCCCCCTCAAGCCTGTCACTGTAAATAGCTCTGAGCTCTGTATAAATTTGTTTTCTTCTCTTTTAGCCGGGGGTCGCTTTTAATATTCACTGCTGACTTTTACGGGAGCGGGGGGGGGCCGTGGGGTTTTTTTGTTTTTTTGTTTTTTTTTTTTCCCTCTCTCTCTAAAATCGCGCTGGTGTGTGGAAAACAAACAAACAAAAAAAAAATGTGTAGCTTTGTTGATTGACATTTGCAAGAGTTAAAAGATGACAAATAATGAAAAAAAAAGAAAAAGAACCCGAGTTGCCAGCTTAACGTTTCGTTGTTTCTGTGTTGAGGGGCGACCCGGAGCGGTGCCGCAGCCCCGGTGGTTAAGGGGGGATCGGGAATTTGGGGGTTTTGGGGTGCCTGAGTGTTTTGGGGTGCTCAGCTGGGGCTGGGGGGTGGCTGCAGTGCTCCTGCTTGGGGGCTGGAGGCGGTGGGTGAGGAAGAGGAGGGTGCTGGGGGTCTTCATCCTGTGCTTCTCATGGGTTAGTGCTACTGAAGCTGGGAGGGGGGCGAAAACTGCTCATTTTTTTCTGAAAACCCCAAAAGAAACAGCTCGGGGTGCCCTCCTCACACCCACCAGGGGTTGGTTCCTCAGCGTTGTGCAGCGGGGAGATTTTGGGGGCTGCACGGGCAGGAATTGATGCGGTGCGAACAGCGTGACCCAGCCAGGGAGCTGCGGGTCAGGGGCACTTCCAGCCAGCAGCGCTTTCTTTATTTGTTGTTTTTTTGATTTTTTTAACATGAGGGGGAAATGAAACTCACAGGACGCTGAGCTGCTTTCAAAAACGGGCATAAACGAGGCAGAAATCGGGCTGAGAGCTGCAGAGATCCCGGCTCGCGGGCCGATGCTGCCGTCTGCTGTTCGCACGGCTCCCAGCAGGGTTTTGTCACGGCTTCAGGAGCTCAGGAGCTGTGAAAAACCAGACAGAAATAAATCTGGGGGGCTGCACAAAGCTTAGGGCACTGTAAGGAAGGCAGAGAACCCAGCACAGCCCTACCTAACGCTGCCCCGGGTTAATCTGACCCTGAAGGGTGGCTGGGAGCGGGAGTTTGTGGGTTTTCAGGCAGGTTTGGGTCCCCTGAGTGAGAACAGGGAGAATTAAAGCAGCCACAGAACTGAACAGCAGGGACAGCAGCACCGTACCTGCTGTGTAAGGGGCAGAACAGGAGGGATGAGGCAAAATTCAAGCTGAAAATCAGAAAAAAAACATGATCTAATCATGAAAAACGTCACTCCTAACACACACCAGAGACATTTCCAGGTGTGGCAGACACTAAAATGCTGCCTGCGCTGGCAGAGTGAAGATCTACAAGCACACAGACTGCAAACAGACCCATATAACAGAGTCACAATCTGCACAGACAAATATTTAATCCTCTCCACTAACGAGTTTTACACTTTTTAACCGTTATCCCACAAGGCTGATGAGCGCTAGCAGCGCTCCGGAGACGCAGCAGCTTTATTCCTAGAGCCTGTCGGGGGGCAATCTAAGCTCTGATTCAGGAGGAGAGCTGCCCACGGCCACCCGCAGCCGGAGCAGGGATCACTTCAGCAATTTGAACTTCTTCAGGTGCTGGTGCACTTGGTCCTTGGGGTAGGGCCTGAGCGCCAGGCAGGTGGGAACGTTCTCGGGCTGCTCAGTCCACACTTGGTGGTCGATGCTGTGCTGCTTCAGGGTCTCCGCCAGCACCGTCAGGGCGGCCTCGTCCGGAGCCTGGGGAAGAGAAAAAAAATGCAGTGAAATTTGGGGTGGAAAACGCCTGTAAGAGCCACAGAGAAATATTGAATTGTTAAGGTTGGAAATCATCCAAATCATCTGCTCCAACCACCCCCTACCACCAATGTCACCACCAAACCCTGTCCCCAAGCACCACATCCAACGCTCTCCTTGAACACCCCCAGGGACGGGGACTCCACCACCTCCCTGGGCAACCCGTCCCAGTGCCTGGCTGCTCTTTCTGACAGAAATGTCTCCTCATTTCCCACCTGAACCTCCCCTGGCACAACTCGAGGCCATTCCCTCTGCTCCCATCGCTGTTTATCTGTGAGCAGAGGCCGCCCCCAGCTCCCTGCCCCTTCCTTTCAGGTGGTTTTAGGGAGCAACGAGGCCCCCCCTCAGCCTCCTCTGCTCCAGATTAAACACCCTGAGCCCCCTCAGCCTCTCCTCACGGGATTTGTGCCCCACACCCACATTTTTTCCTTTATGTTACCACAGTGACCACCACCAACAGCAAGTTTGGAACCCACACAACCACTACACCCCCAAAACACCCTTTTTTTCCCCAAAAAACTCCTCATCGGGCTACCACAAACCCCTCTCCCCCCCCACGCCCACCGACCCAGCACTGCTGAGGGGAGCCTGGGGGGGTCCCAAAACCGAGCCTGGGGGTCGGGGGGTCCCGGGGGGTCCCCGAGGACCGAGCTTGGGGTCGGGGGATCCCTGAGGGTCCCCGAGGACCGAGTTTTGGGGTCGGGGGGGCCCCCAGGGAGCGCTGCTGAGGGGTGCGGGGGTCCCCCAGGCACCGCCTCAAAATGGCGGCCGCGGCTCCCCCTCAGCGCGGCGGGCGCCCCTTTCCCGACATGCCCCGCGCACCTCCAGCACCACCGTCCTCATGGCGCCGCCCAGCTCCAGGTAGGCGGCCGTGTCCGGGTGGCCGCCGTGAGCGTGGGCGGCCGCCAGGACGGCGTGGCAGGCCTGGGCCACCACCGCGCCCAGCGGCCACGAGCGGGCCAGGTCGCCCCGCAGCACCACGTACTGCACCAGCGCCGCCGCCCCCGCCGCTCCGGGCGCCGCCATGTTGTTGTACGGCAGCGCGCAGGCTCATAGAAGGAAAGGGGGAACATGGCGGCGCGTGCTGGGGGGTAGAGAGCAGAGGGCGCCGCCATTTTGTTGTACGGCAAAAAGAGGAAGGGGAGTGACGTAGTTCCGGTGGGGTCTGAGCGCGGAGTTTGAGCGGGGTGAGAGGGAAAGGGGGGGGGAGGGGGCAGGGGGGGTCCCTTTAACCCCCTAAAACCCCCCCAAAATCCCCTAAAATCCCCCAAAACGCCTCGAGGGGGTGTCACTGGGTTGCCCCTGACTCCTATTTCGCCATCTCTGGGGGTCCCCGGGCCGCCCCGTGTCCCCCTGAGCCCCCCAAATGTCTTGGGGGTACCCCCAGGCCGCCCCCTGCCCCCCCCAAATCGCCTCAGGGGGCGGCCCCGAGTCCCCCTGAGCCCCCCCCCCCAAACCCTTTGGGCTCCCCTTTGTCCCCCTGACGCCCCCAATCCCCTTAATGGGGGTCCCTGGATTGTCCCATGTCCCTCAGACCCCCCCCAAAACCTTTCAGGGGGTGTCCCCTGGCCACCCTGTGTCCCCCTGCCCCCCCCAAATCCCCTCAATGGGGGTCCCTGTGCTGCCCTGTGTCCTCCTGACCACCCCCCAAATCCCTTGGGGGTGTTCCCGGGTTGCCCCATGTCCCCCTGACCCCCACATCCCCATCAGTTGGAGTCCCCAGGACACCCTTTGTCCCACTGACCCCCCCCAAACCTCTTGGGGGGCATCCCCTGGCCACCCTGTGTCCCTCTGACACTCCCAAACCCCTTGATGGGGGTCCCTGGGTCACCTCGTGTCCCCCTGACCCCTCCCAGCCCTCTTTTGGGGGGTGTCCCTGGGATACCCTATACGCCCTTGACCCCCACACCCCCATTACTGGGGCTCTCCAGGCTGCCCTGTGTCTCCCTGACCCCCACATCCCCCCCCATTCCCCTCCCAACCCTTGGGTGTGTACCCCCCCGCCAAATTTGGTGGCCCCAGACCACCCAGCCCCTCTTCATCCCATTAACTCCTGTCACCCCCCTGGGCTTGGGGTGTCGAATCTTGTCCCTGCCTGCGCTCACGGGAGGGTTCCTTATGGGGTTGGGTGGCTTCTAACCGTCCCTTTCAGCCCCCAGGACATCCTCGTGCCCCAATTTCGGAGCCCGACCAGCTCCAGGACTTCTCGGAGCCCCCTTCCAGCAGCGCGAGGAAGAAGAGGCCCCGTGAGGAAGCCGCCTCCCGGGAAGAAGGAGGGATGACGTCTGCGTTCCCACTCTTACCCAAGGCTTGGAGGGAGATGGAGAAAGGGAAATCAAACTCAGAGGACGGTGAGCTGCTGCTGCGGGGGGTGATGTATGCTGTCCTCAAAGTGTGCCCTCGCCCAGGAACACACCATAAAGTGCTTGAGACGAGGACTTTATGCCCTGGCTCGCCCCGCCACGCTGTGTTTCAGGGCAAATTTAGGGTATGGGGACATCAGACAAAGCCCCTCTGCTGCTCTGGGTGAGGAATAAAACGGGAGGTTGCAGATCTTTTAGGGTCAGGACTGTCCGTTTGATCCATTTGATATTTTACTCTGCTTCTCAGGACATCAGAACCACTTCGGTTTGGGTAACGTTTTCAGGTAGTTAATAACCAGAGCTGGGTTTTTGAGCCTGTTGTGCTCTTCTTGCAGGGGTTTTGGCTCACCTGGAGAGGCTGGAGGCGCAGGCTCGCGAGTCGGCCCTGAAGCAAGAAGAAAAGGAGCAGCAAGAGGAAAAGCTGGCTGGGCTGAAGGCCAGGGTGCAGGAGCTGAGAGCCCAGAGGGACGAGCTGCGGGCAAAACTGGAGCTGCAGCAAAAGAGGGTGAGAAAGAGCTTGCTGCAGAGACCTGGCAGAGGGCTCCGTCCTGCTCCTGTAGCATGAATTTACTGAAATTATTAATTTAGAGTCAGCTGCTGCTTTTTATTTTCCTTTTTCAAGCAATGTTCAGTCCTTCTGCCCCTTGTTTTCAGCGCGGTGTCGTCCAGAACTGCTGGGTCTACTTGCTTGGAGGCTGTGGGGCTATTTCTGAACTTTTTTCCCCTTTTCCCCTCGAAAATCTGCCTCGCTTTGCCCAGAACTGGGTTATTTCTCCGCAGCCTGGCTGCATTCCCTGCAGGCAACAAGTTTGGTGCCGCTGCCTTCTGCCCCCTCTCATCTTCTGTCTTTTTTTTTTGTGTTTTTTTTTTTTTTTTTGCAGCTTCTGGAGAAAGAAGGTGTCAAGACAGATCCAGAGCAGCCCAGCGCTCAGGCTGTCTTGGAGTGGAAGATACGAAGCATGAAGGACCTGCTGCAGCTCTTCTACCTCACAGGTAAAGTCTCCAGGTTTGTCTGTGTCCTCCTGGCTGCGGTTTTGGGGTGTGAGATCAGATTTTGGAAAGCGTGTGACCACCTTAGCCCTAGCGAATCCTTTGGGAATGAGGTAGTTACACAGCCAGCTGGTGCGAGGTGCTAACCCAGCACCTTATTTTCATCAGTTCCTGAACTTTTAATTAATTTTCTTGTTTTTTCCAATGCAATTTACCTTTGCTCTGTGTTCTGGTCCTTAGAGGGACGGTGTGGGGATAGTTCCTTGCGTTGTACAAGCGGGTTTAGCCCCTGAGTGCTCCTGCCACTCTTTTTGGGGCAGTGAGATGCTGCTTTCCTGCCCTGGGAGCAGCCTCTTCTCCCTGGAAGCCAGGACTGTTTGGAAGTACCAGCATAACCCATTTTTTGGGAATTTAAACTACTTTGAACTTGAATTTATTCAACGTCCTTTATAAAAAATTGCTGGTTTTTACATCCCTGACCTCTTGCAAGTCCCAGGGACCTCCCTGAGGATACGGCCCCCTCCTGCACCCTGTGCTGCCCCCACAAAAGTTCCTCCTGGTGCCGAGTTTTGGTAGCACCGAGTTCAAATCCCTCTCTCTGCACCCCCAAAAAGGGATCAGCGGGAAGCTGACCAAGCGGGGCGTGTGCTTCTGCATCAGCACTGCTTACGAGGGCACCTACCTGCACTCCTACTACCTGGACGTCCTCACCAAGCCCGAGGTGCAGATCCAACGCCACTCGGTGCCCACCTTCATCCCCCTGGAGCAGATTGCCAGGAGGCACCTGCAGACGGACATCAGGCGATTTTTGGCTGTCCTCTCCGACCACCTCAACGCTTACGCTGGCCGGAGGTACCAGGCGGACCAGTTGCAGGTACCGGGGGGCTGCAGCAGCGCTGCTCATTTCTCCTTTTGCCTTTTTTGTACCAAATATTACAAGTCTGTGCCCCTCTGAAGTGCTGGGGGGGATCTAGGCAGGTTTTTTTTTACACAGAGCGCTCACAGCTCGGGTTTTCAGAGCTTAGCGAGCAGCTGTGTGGCTACAAACTGCTGCCTGCTTTGCTGGTATTCACACTTATTTATTTTTCGCTGGTATTTATATTTATTTTTTAGTTATATTCGGGTATTTAGAGGTCTTGTGGCTCGTTTAAAACTTGCTGCCAAGCACAAGGTGAGCTGCCTCCCCTCTCTGAGCTCCCTAAGCTCTTGTAAAAGGCCTCTGGGGAGCGTGGCTGCGAGGTGTGGATGAGCACTGGTTGTTGAAATCTTGCCCTCGTGGGGTTTTGCTGCCTTTGCAGCCACCCCGGGGCGGGTGGGCACGGCGCAGGGGGTGGGGGATCTGTGCCTGGGGAGCTCCCAGCCCTACGCCGACGGGCTCCTGTCCTAGCTCCGTGTCCTGAAGTTGTCTTTGTCCGTTCAGGAGCGTTTTTCAGACCGCCTGGAAGGGCCCTTGCAGAGGAACTCCCTGTGTAACTTGCTGGTCTTCCACTACAACGTCTCAGGTGACAACGGGAGCTTTCTGTTCAGCGCCAAGCTGCTTTACTCAGATCTCTGCTGCAGCCTCCCCACCGAAGCCATCGTTTCGTGCACGCGTAAGTGGGCGGTGCAGGGGTCTGGGGCAGCTCTGAAATGGCTGGGGGTTCCTCCTAGCTCAGTCTGGGGGACAAAAAGGAGCAAGTTTTCGTTTTTCTGCACGAGGAAAGAGCTCGCTGTGCATCTTCAGCATCAGGAATTCCTCTCTGTAATTAGAGAAATGGTTAATGAGGGTTATGTAGATGCTGAGGCCTGCTGTTGGGATGTCTCGAGTTGTTCAGCCGGGCTGTGACTGCCCCCATTGCACAGAGAGAGGCAGGAGTGAGGTTTACGACCCCTTTTAAGGTGTCAGCAGTGCTGCAAAATGCTGCTTGTCCTGCCCCAGACGTGCAGTTTTCCACTCATCTGCACCTTATGGCTGGCTCGGCTGCAAGATGCACGGACCAGCGTGCAGCTAGATGGAGCTCCAAACATTGCAGCTCGATTTTAAAATCTCCTCCTGGCACCAGCCGTGGTCTGAGGCCTCCCTGTGTGAGCTGAGCCCAGCTGCAGCTGAGCTGGTGGAGGATATCAGCAGTTCCTCCTCTGCTTTGCCCACAGAAACCGTCCCCTTACAGGTGAAGCTCTGCCCTTTGCCCCCAAATTTTGGTGTTTTCTGAGCTGGGAAAGCCGCAGGGTGGTTGTGGTGCTCCCAAATCCCTTGGAAATGCAGGACACGAAGGAGAGGGAAAGGTTACGAGCAGGAAAACTGGCACAGGAGACTAAAAACTCCCTCGGGACAAGGGGAGCAGGAGAAACAAATAGTTCAGTGCTGGTAAATCTGTTCTCCCCACCTCCTTCTGCCCCCCAGCCAACGCTCCCACGGAGCTGGCAGCGATGGCAGCAGCTCACTCGGAGACGTTTCGCCGCCTGGCCCTGCACAAAGCCTTCGACTCGTTCAGCAAAGCTGAAGAAACCCAGGACCAAGCACTGATAAGTCCCCCGGGCTCTCCCCAGTAACTCTCCTCCCCTGCCGGGCGTGCTCTCAACAAGAAAATGCTTCCCACGGGCCCAGCGCTGTTGCTGGGATCCCCCTGAGGAGCACTTGGCTCGCTTGGAATCGAGAGCAACGTTTCCTGGAGGCTTTTTGGGGGTCTGGTGTAGGAGATTTCACACCAGCAGTGGCTTTGGACATTCTTTGTTCCTTCTCTTTGGGCACGGGACAGTTTTCGTGGTGTCCTGTCTGTGCGCTTCCAAGTTTGGGTCAGATCTTAAAAACTTGGTGTTCTTACGGGAGTATTTTTAAGGCTTAATCATTTCAGTGACATAGAACTTCTGTGCCCGCAGGGTTTATGTCCTGGGGTGCAAACAGCCTCAGCTGCCTGAATTTTGGGCGAGGCTGCAGATTTCTCCCTGCATCAGCATCGCTCCTGTTCCACCTGGGTGCTGCTTGCACCAGCGGCCAGGTCCTGCGAGTGCAGGGATGGAACGGGGAACAGCACGGGCTGAGGATGGGGATTTTTTTTCTTCCCTTTTGAGGGATGGGGTAGGGATTCAACTCCTTTATCATCAAATTGTGGTTCCCAGCGTTTCGGGTCTCTGCTGCCAGAGCCAGCTGAGCCCCAACAAGGGAAAAAGAAGCAAAGCATCGTCCTTCCCTTTGGGGACCCCTTCAAATATTCCCCTGGAGAGGCTGTGGAGCCCTTCTCGCTGCACCTCCGACCCCAGAACACAGCAGACTTTGAAACCAGGCTTTGAAATTCAACTGCTTTCTATTCAAGAAACTAGCGGCGTAATTAATTACACCCCGGGCTTGCCTCCTCTCCCCCCTGCTCCCCTCTTCCACCAGCAGCCGAGCCCAGCGAGCTCTGCCCCGGGGAGCGAATGGGCACAGTTAAAAATATAAATGTTAATCTGTACTTTTTATATATATATATATATAATATATATTTATATATCTTAAATACACAATATCAGTTTGTGTTTGTTTGTTTTCTTTTCCTTCTCGGAGCCAAAGGCAGGACTGCGCTCCCCCTCTCTCCCCAGGCTCCTAATTAGGGTTGGTTTGTGACGAGGATGGACGTGGGGCGGGCTGACGGCGACCCCCCAGGCGCTGCAGCACGCAGGAGAGACGTGGTGGTGCCTTCCCCTCCAGCCCTGAGTGTGATTCTCCTCGTGCCGAGCGCGGCGGTGCCACTCGGATGTCCCTCGGGATGCCCCGGGGAAAGGCGACCCCAGCCCCATGCCCGCCGGGGGCTGGGAGTTGTGTGGGGCCGGAGGAACCCACAGGGGCAGCCCCCTGCCTCCCTCCTGCTCGGCCCCGGGAGCAAAACCCCGCTGGAAACCTCCAGCAGAAGCTCAGGAAAGGTGCTTGGAAGGGCTCGGTTGCTCGGATTTGGTTTCAGATCTGGACCTTTTTGGGAGAAACGTCCCCGGTGTCTGCAGCGGTGGGTGCCGGGCCTCCCCCCAAAGCGCCCCCGTTTGGCGCGGGGCTTTTTTTTTGGTGGCTGTGCTGGCTGCCGGGCTCCAAGCCCCTCAGGAGCTGTCCACCACCTGATGGGGCAGGGTGACGGACGAGCCGTTGACGAAGGAGCCTTGCTTCTCCCGGCCCTTGAGGAAGAAGGTGAGCAGCTCCCCTTTGCCCTTGACGTAGATGGCCCCGCGGCGCACGAAGCGGAAGCCGTACTCCTTCAGGATCAGGTGGGTCTCCTCCACCACCTGCGGGGACCACAGCAGGAGGCTGGGGGGACCCTGCCCAGGTCACAACCTCGATAGCAGGGACCCCAGGGTGACGTTCGGGCACCAGGTCTACCCTCCAACAAGGTTCCTGCCCCGTTATCCTGCAGCATCCCAATTTTAGCACCCCCGTGCTCCACCCCCAGCCCTTCAACACTCTGCACAGGGCGTTTTTGGGGCCGTCCCCATCCCTCGTCTTCCCAATTTCTCCACCACCTCACCTGGATGTTCCCCATCACGCCCGTGGACTCCATCCTGCTGGCCACGTTCACCGTGTTGCCCCAGATGTCGTAGTGGGGTTTCCGGGCACCGATGACGCCCGCCAGCACGGCGCCCTTGTTCATGCCTACGTGAGGAGAGCAGGGTGGCCGTCACCCCTCTGTGACACACTGGGGACATCGGGGTGGGCTCTGGGGAACCCCCCGGACTTGCCTATGCGGAGCATGAAGTTGTTGAAGGACTGGTAGTTGATGTTCATCAACGTCACCTTCATGGCCAAGGCGAAATCGGCCAGATCGGCCAAGTGCTGCCAGCGCTCCTTATCCGACAGGGTCTCCTTCTGCGAGGGGAGCAGGATCAGTGTCCCCCCTCCCCAAAAAAACCTCGTCCAGTGCCCCCCCGGGGCGCAGGGACCCCTCACCTTGGCGCCGTAGCCGTTGGCGTTGGCGTCGGGGGTGACTCCAGAAGCGGCCATGTAGGTGCTGCCGATGGTTTTGATTTTGGTGATGCAGCGGAATTGGGGCTCGTCCAGGAGCTGAGCGGTGGAAAAAGAGCTTCAGAACCACTGGGGGGGGGACAAAAGTGTCCCCAAAGTCCCCCGTGGTGCCCCCGTGGCCAGCTCCGGCCCGACTCACCGCGTCGAAGTCGGAGATGATCTCGTTGAGGAAGCGCAGGCACTCGATGCCCCCGTTGTTGATGCTCTCCTCGGTGTAGAAGTCGGCGAAGTTGGGCAGGGAGGCGAACATGACGCCGATCTCGTCGTAGGACTGGCTGTAAAGCTCCTGGGGGTGGTGGGGGAAGGACGGTGGGGGGGAGCCTGCACCTCCAGCAAACCCCAAAGCCTCCCCCAAAGCACAGCCTGCCTCGGTTTCCCTTGGGCGTGGGTGGGAAAAAAAATGAGGGTGCTCACGGTTGGCCAAAAAAATGATCTTTATCCAGCCAAAGATGCTCAGCTGGAGCCTTTTTGGCAAATTTCTCTGGCCATGCATAAAAATTGGGGGCAAAACACGAGTCCTGCTCTGTAGGATGGGCTCAGGGGACGGCGGGGCTGTGGTGCCACCCTGGGTGCCCCCTCACCTCGTCGCGTTTTTTGGAGCCCAGGAAGTGCCGGGCCACGTGCTCGGGGAGCATGTTGGTGACCAGGGCCTCGTTCCAGCGCCGCATCTCGTAGACCCGCTCCTTCTGGTCGTGGACGTCGATTTTCCAAAGGAAGAGGGTCCTGGCCAACTTCTCCACCTGCAGGATGGGGGGAGAGGGGTGCAGTGGGATCCCTCCAGCGCCAGGAGCATCCTGGGGGCTGGTCCGGGCTCGGGTGGTGGCTTTGGGGCGAGGTGAAGCCCTAAGGGGAGGTGGCCCCTAATTAGGGCCATGGTAATGCTGCTTGCCCTAAATCCTAGGGGCAAGAGGGAGGTGCTGATGCGGTCCTGGTCTTCCGTGGTGGTTTTCCTTGGACAAGAGGTTGGACAAGAGGTGGAGATGGTTCCGTGAAGCGCGCAAAAATCAGGGCACGTGCAAAAATTTGGGGAGCGAAGCAAGGGGGTGGCTTTAACTCACGTGGCGAGAGAAGTAGTAGAAGCTGAGCATCACGATGAAAATCATGGCTGTCATCGAATATTTGGAGGGGACCAGCGCCGACCTGCTGGGAGACACCCCAAGGAGTGAGTAGGGTGGAAGGGGGCACCCTCGCACCGTGCCCACCCCCTCCTTGCTGCCCCTTACGCGCTTTGCTGGCCCCGGCGGCGGTCGTAGTGGTCGAAGATGTGCCCCCAGGCGTAGATGTTGACGGTGCCGGCCGCCCCGGTGATCAGCACCATGAGGGTCAGCTTGACCATGTGGCTGACCTGCACCAGCATGATGGTGGCCACCAGGGCCAGCAGGGCGATGTAGCTGTAATATTTGGGTTGCTCCCCGCAGCCCCCCGGCCGCCGCGGCGGCACCGCTGCCGTGCCGTTGCCCAGCCCTCCGGAGTCCTGCCAGCAGCTGAGCTGGGGGAACGAGGAACAGGGTGAGGATGGGGGACGAAGGGTGGTGATGTCCCCCCAACCCAAAAAAGGGCTGTGAAGCCACCCAAGGGATGCGGGGTTTTGGGGGAGGGAGGAGGAAATCCCAACCAGCGGGTAGCCCCGCTGCGAAAATCCACCTCCCCGCTGCAGCTCGGCCTTAATTGGTTTAATGATTGGTTTAACGGGGCCGTGCACAATTATGGGATGTGGGGAATAGGGGAAGGGCAGAGCGGGGTCCTGCGCTGCCCCCTCCCGTGGGCTCACCATGTCCACGATGTCGGCCGTGGTGACGATGATGATGGCAGCCATGGCCCAGGTGTTGCGCGCCCAGCGGGTCCTGTCAATCCAGGTGGAGAAGGCGACGAGTTTTTTGGGGAAAACCTGCAGGGAGGAGAACGGGGGGGGCTTCACCCGGGTGGGACGCAGCAGGGGGGGGACATCTCAGCGTCCTAACTGGGTGATGGGCTGGCACAAAACCTAGCTGGGGAAGAAGCCCAAACCTCATCCAGCCCCATCCCTGGTGCGTCCCCGCTATTTTGGGGTCAGGGGGTGGTTATGGTTCATCATCCCCCCCCCTTTAACCTTCTCACCCGGGGGAAGATGGCTGCCAGCGAGCAGAGGGTGAGGATGAGCAGCAGGATCTCCCCCACCACGAAGGTCACGTAGTTGGCCACCAACCTGCCCCAAAAAAAAAGACAAAACCAAGAGGGGACAGGTTTGAAGCCTTGTAGGGCCAAAAATGGGCTGGGACCACCCACCCCCAGCGTCCCCCCCAAACACACCAGGGGTCGATGAAGACCTCCACCAAGGCGGTGAAGAAGAGGACGACGCAGGAGCAGCTGAAGGCGGCCCCGCTTTGCTTCTCCTTCTCCACCGAGTAGCGCGTCTCCATCTCGGGGTCGATGAAGCGCATGGAGAGCCGAAAAGTGCTCTTCCCCTTCAACCTGCCGGCGACACGGCCATCAGCACCCGATGGCACCAGGACCGTGCCAGGACGTTTTGCCAGCTTGGTAACTCACGCCTGGACGGATTCTCGCTCCAGCAGGGCCTCGTTGAGCAGCTTGTTGAGCTCCTGCTCGTTCTGCGACGCGTCGATCACCCGCTCGGCCAGGTCCCGCAGCCGCAGCCGGCGCCGCGGGTTGGGGAAGGAGGGGTTCACCGCCTGCACCACGAAGCCAAGAATCAACAAAAAACGTGCCAGCATCAAGGTCAAGGCGTCAACCCCCCCGTTGATGCCGTGGTCGAGGTGTCAGCCCCCCCAAAAAAACGCAAATAAATCGCTGGAGGGGATGCTCCCCCTGCGCCCTACCTCTCCATCCTCCTCCCCGCTCTCCAAGGTGCCCCTGGCCCTGGCGTCGGGCTCCTCGGCCTCGTCGGGGGTGGCGCAGGCCACGCTGAGGCTGCCGTTGCGCTCCTTGGTGTTGACGAGCAGCGGGGAGCCGCCGTGGGACGAGGTGAGGGACAGCTTCTGCGGGGAGAAGGCGGTGGCTCGAGGCTCGCCCGCGGTGCCGGCGCCGGTGCCCGCGTCGCCACTCACCACCCCGTTGATCCCGTTGCGCAGGGGCTGCTTGGGCACCACGATGAGGTAGGTGACGATGCCCTTCTCCTTCAGGTACTCGCAGCGAGAGCCCCCCTCGCCCGGCTCCACCTCGAACTCGCCCTTCAAGCAGTCCATGGTGCTCTGCGAGATGTGCACGCGCCTGCGGGGGCGCGCAGGGTGCCGTAAAGCCGGGGCCACCCCACAACTATGATAGGGGGCCACCAAATGGTGGCCCCGGCACGGGATGCTCACCCCGGGATGCCTCCTGCTTCCATCTTGTTGGCCACGGTGACGTCGGTGGACCAGACGTCGTATTGCCAACGTTTCTGGCCCAAAACGCCCCCCAGCACCGTCCCGCTGTGCACCCCCACGCGCATGTCCACCGCCGTCTTGGTCTTCTCCCGCACGTAGCTGGGGGGGCAGAGGGGTGATACGGGAGTTAGCCAAACCCCGTTCTGCTCCCACGCTTCATTAATGATCAGCCCCTCGTTAATTTAACGCGCTTGGCACAGGAGGGGAGACCCAAAGACCCAGGGTTTTGTCCTGGCTTGGAGAAACCCAACGGGGTCACCCCCTGGCGGAGCACCAGGAGCTCCTGCCCACGCCAGCACCCACCACAGGGACCCCCCAGATTTCCACCAGACACCCCAGGGACGACGACGAGGACACTGTGGGGATGTCAACGACGAGGAACCCTTACGAAATGGCCTCCACCATGGCCAGCCCCATCATGATGGAGCAGACGGCGTGGTCCTCCCGGTAGTCGGGCAGCCCGCAGATGCAGTAGTAGCAGTCGCCCAGGATCTTGATGCGCAGCTGGTGGTATTTCTGGGGAGGGGGGGGGGGAACACAAATTGAGCCCCCTCAGGCCACCTCACCGCCCCCATCCCTCTCCTGGGCAGGGTTTGCTCCATCCTTGACCCGTGCTGAGGTCTCCCGTGCCCACGAGGGACGCAAATCATCCGATTTTTCCATTCCCTCCCCGGCTCCCCGGAGGCTCGGCGGGCCCCCACCCCCTTCCCAGCTCTATTTTTGGCCACGTGTGCCACCAGGCAGGGCCCGTCCAGCGTGTCCCCGGTCCCCTGGGTGGGGGCACTCACGGCTGCCAGCTTGTCGAAGCGGGCGAAGAGCTCGTTGAGGAGCTTCACCAGCTCCTGGGCGCTGCAGGACGAGGAGAGCTGCGTGAAGCCCACGATGTCGGCGAAGAGGATGCTGCGGGGGGGGGAGCGAGGTGACAGATAGAGACGTCTCTTTTTTATAGAGACGGTCATTCCAGCTATGTCCCAAAAAGGCTATTTTATGTCCCAAAAAGGCTATTTTTGGGACACGGCTGAAAGCGATGCTCGGCAAAGCACGGCTGGAGCAAAACGCGGCCCCGAGGCACTGCTTGGCCACCAGCCAGCCCCCATCTCCCTTTTTTTTAGGCACAGCAAACCACCCCGATCTCCTTCTAGGGCTCTGCGGGACCGCCAAATACAACAAATCGGGATTTTTTTATTTTTTTTTTAAATTTTTTTCCCTCCCAGCAGAAATAGCCCGGCGGGGAGGCGGCCCTACCTGACGTTCTCGTGGCGGTACATGTACATGGTGTTGAACTGCTGCATCTCCTTCTGGCTCGGGTCCTTCTTCATGTCCTTCAGCATCTCGTCCGCCACGTGCTTGGGCAGGATGGAGAGCATCAGCCGCTCCTGGGGGGGCACAGGGAAACAAAGAGGGATCGAGTTTAAGCCAAACCTGTGCTGTTTTCTAAATCCACGGTGCCAAGCGTCTCCTCGCCCTCCAGCTCCACGTTTTGCTCCCATTAGCGAGCCCGTTTCCAAATCAGGCCGATATTTGGGTGCTCCCAGCCCGGTGCCCGAAATCCGGGCAGCACCAGCAGCCCCACAGCCAAGGGAAGAGGCGATGCTGTTGCCACCCGTGCCGTCCCGTTTCCCAAATTGTCACCGGGAGGTTTGCAAGTGGCCGTTTTGGTGACCAGGAGGGGGCAGGTTCCGTGCTCGGTGCCGTCCGCTTATTTTGGCACGGGCAGAAGTGCTGAAAATTCGCTTTTTTTTTACCAGGAACCCTTCTGCAGCACCTGGATATGCAGCCCAACACCTCGTCTGCAGCACCCTGAGCTCAAGAATTAAAACTCACTGGGTTTTCCCAGATTTTAGCAGCCCAAAAATGATCCCTGAGCCCCGACATGGGGACAGCCTCAGGGCTCCTACAGCGATGTCCCAAACAAAGTCCCTACAAGCTGCCCAGGGGGTGGGCAAACCACACCAGGGGGGATTTCTTGATTTAAAATCACTCCGGGTCCCCACAGGAGGAGCGATCCCATGGGGATTTCGTGCCCCTCGCCGTCCCCACAGCCCCCGGAGCTGGGGAAGGGACAAACCCCTGGAGCGGGCTGCGCGCACGGGGCTGTGCGCACGGGGCTGTGCGCTCGGTGTAAGTCACGCTGCTAATTAAAGGGTTTTCCCCCGGGGTCTTGGGGTTTTGGCACACGGCAGGGCTGTTGCTGGAGGAACAGCTCCTCTTCTCCACCCTGAAAAATTTTGGCCTAATGAGCTTCAAAGCTGCTGATGGCCTCGCTGTAGGGGCCATCCCTGCTGGGAACGGGGCCACAAAATTCTCCCCCTGGGCTCAGAGGGGCTGGGATGGGGGGCGAAAAGCCCGGGGCCGGCCCCGCCACGCATCTCCGTTGCCATTGGGAGCGAATTGCTGGCAGCGGCTCAAGCTGATAAGAGATGGGAGACAGGGAGAGAGGCCCCGAGATAAGGCTCTAAAATTAGCCGGGCTCGTAACTGGATGGTGGCTGGGGAAAACGAGGATTTGAGGGCTGCCTGGTGCCGACAGCGCCCCGGATCCTCTCAGTGGGGTCTCTCCGGGGCAGTGTCACTACCCCAGCCCCATGGTGGGATCGGACCCATGGGAAATGAAATTTCTGAGATCCTGATGGGGATGGGGACATGTTGTAGGGTCGTTTGTGGGGTCAGGGAGGTGCCACAGGGATGGGACCAAGGATGGGGACCTGCCATGGGGTCATCCCCAAGGACGGGGACCTGCAATGGGGACATCCCCAAGGATGGGGACCAGCCATGGGGCTCTCTCTGGGGCTGGGGCCGTGCTTGGGGACCTGCTGCGTGTCCCCAACACAAGGATGGGGACATCATGGGGACACCTCCACCAAAATCCACGAGGTCCTGCGGGAGCACGGCCACACGGCGAGTCCCCAGACGAACCCAAGGCGCAAAACCAAAGACATAATTCCCACCTGGGTCCTCCCCTCCCCCTTTCCACCGTCCCATATCCCACCTGGTTGTCCCCAGATGTGCCCCCCTACCTGCTGCTGGCTCTGCTCCTCCAGGTTGAGCTTGACCTCGAGGGATTGCCGGGCTTCGAGGAAGGCTTTGCGGTGCTTGCGGTCGGCCATGTAGTAGGACATGGTGCCCACCGTGATGGCGCACAGGTAGATGGCCACGTTGGACAGGAGCTGCAGGAAAAAAACAAAAAAAAATACAAAAAAAAATATTATATTTTGGAGGAGGACACGAATTCAAGGCTGGGGGTGAGCTGGTGGAGCAGGGACATGGTTATCCACTGGGGTGACTCGTTGGGGACCATCACCATGGGGTTGCTTTGCTGGAGGTGTCCGTGTGGGGGTCCCAGGAGAGCTCGCAGCCCCCGCGGGATGATTCCGCCTCGTTAAAGCTTGCAGAGGTGTTTTGGAAAGCAGCAGCGGGTCCGCAGGGGCTGGGGGCAGCCCCAGGGAAGGCTGCGCGGAGGCGCACGTGGTGGGAAATGTGGGGAGGCTGAAGTGGTTTGCGGCAGGGAGGTATTTTTTAGGGGGGAGAAATGAGCATGAGGAGCCAGGGGGGAGCATCAGGGACCCGCAGAGCCTTCAGTGGGATGGACTCTGCCCCGTTCCCAGCCCGGCCCCATTGCCACAGCTCGGGATTCCCGGGAAGCCCCAAGCGCAGCAGCTGGCGAGCGAGGAGCGTCTGGAGGTGGGCACGGAGAAGAAACCCCCAAAGAAGCCGCCGGGCGCTATTTTTGAGCAGGGTTGTCATGGCAATGCACCGCTCCGCAGGGCTCGGCACGTGTAGGGCCGCTGGGGAACCCCACCTGGCTGGGGAGCACCCTAAAACCATCGAGATGTGCTGCGAGATGCCAAACACGTCCCGGCACCCCAAATGTCCCCGTTGGAGAGGACGTGGGCCCCGGCTGGGTGAGGCTGTGCGCCGCAGAGGAGCGATGCCACCCCATCCGAGGGCATCTCCATCCATCCCAAACGGTGTCCTGCGGTCCCTTTCGGGTGTGTGGGGCCACCCGAATTGAGGACAAGCCATCGGCTGAGCCCAACGAGCAGCGACGAAGCCAAAAACAGGAGATGGAGACCCCGCTCCGTGCCCAAACCTGGAGAACGCTTTGCAGCTGCTTTGTGGGGCTGATTTGGCATCAAAAAACCCCAAACCCGGCCCCCCCCGGTGCCATCCAGCTTTGGGGTTCCTCCTGAACAGCCAGAACGGGGGCAGAAACCGCCGGCATCTCTCCAAAACCCCCCTGAGCCGCTCCGGTCCGAGCGGCACCCGCCGGCCCATCCTATTAATAGCAGCTGCCCTCAGGGAGCCGTCCGGACGTCTATAATAATAAAGCGAATGATGTTTATTTCTGGACATAATGTTCCTCTTTTTTTTGCAGCAGGCAGAGGCTGAGGCATGCGGCGTTGCCAAGGTTTTGCTGGCCCCAGCAATGATTAACGCGGCCGCGGCGCATGCCCGCCGGAGGGGGGGGACACCCGAGCAGCCCCCTCGGCTCCCGGCGCGTTGGCACCGGGCGTTGTCGTGGCCTTGGGGACGAAAAAAAAAAGGAGTTGGAGCCCCCGTTGCGTCCGTCTGCCTGCTCCTGGAAGCATCCTTGGGGCTGCAAAGGGTTTGCTTCGGGTTTAGGGTCCCACGTAGGGAGAGGGAATTGGGAACGCCGCTGCCGCGCGAGGATTTTGGCTCCTGGAGTGGTGTCCCCCCGGTTGGGTGTCACGGCACCGTCCCGTGTGCTGCAGGAATTGTCCCCAAAGTGCTTCTCCTTGCACCGTGGGACACCAGGAGGTGTCCCGCGGAAGGGGTGCGGGCTCTGGTGCCAAACCAAATGCCCGAGGGGTAGGGGAAAGTCCGAATTTTTGGGGGGTTTTGGAGAGCAGGCTCCGTTTCCAAGCTCCTGGGGTGATCGGGGACGCAGCACCCGGCTCCAAAACTCCCCAAAAACAGGCAAAAAACCCCACACCCCTCCTTCCTCTGTCGGCAGGAGGTCTCCCAGGACCTGCCCCAGAGCGTCCCGGCTTTCCATAGGGTCCTCCCACGGCGTGCTCGCGGTGAACCCACAGAGCTGGGAGTTTCCAGCAGGATTTTCCCCCCTAAAAAGCCACCGGCGCACCGAGTTCTCGGCGCTGGGGAAGCAGGGGAAGGGGCATCACCCCTCTGGCTACAAACCCCACTGATTTGGGGCGGTGAGAACAGTCCCGAGCTGCTCCAGGTGGGAATTCCCCCAGGAAATACCGAGGCTGCCCGAAATTTTCCCAGGAAATATCGAGCCCAAGGAGCCAGGGCCCGTTCTGTCCCTGCGTTCCCATCCTTCGCCGCCCTGCCCGAAATGGTGGCCCATCCTTAGGGCTGCTTTTGGGATCGGGATTTTGCCCTTTTTCCAGCTTTGTTTTTGCAGGGAATCAGCCACAAGTGTCCCCGGGCTCTGCCCCACACTGAGCGGCCCTATATAGAGACCTGGCCCCACAGCGGGGGCGTTTTTGGGGCTGGTGCCCGCGTGGGGCTGCCCAAATCTCCTGGGAACGCTCCGGCGGCTGTTTGGGAGCCTGGAGGAAGGCCCACGCTGGCCTCGTGCCACGTTTCGGCCAAAAAAATGGCCATTTTTAGCCAGTTTTGCAATCTGAAGGGAAAGCAGCACAAATAGGGCCGCCAGGAGGGGCGGACAGGGCCACCCCAAGCCCCCCGTGCCTCGGTTTCCCCAGCAGCCAAATTTCAGCCCACGCATCCACGCACCCCGGAGCGGCTTTTGGGGACAAACCTGTGTTTTTTGGGGGCTGTGCCTATGCCCACATCCCCTCCCCGCGCCGAGGGCACACCGTCCTTCCACCAACCACCCCGATGCGCTCTCGGCGCCCTGCCCAAACTTTAGGATCAAAGGATGGGCACGGAAAAAAAAACGAAACGGCGACGATTCACCCAACGAAGCCACCTTCCCCGTGCCACCCCAATGATGTCCCCGGGTGTCCCCCCCATACCTGTCGGAGCAAGGCCCCCTCATCCAGGGCGTCCTGGCGCTGCTGGGCGACGGTGACGCCGAGCACCAGCGTGTGGACGCCGCAGGAGACGGCGGCGATGAGCACGATGGGCGCCAGGCGCAGCGGCAGCGTGAGGAAGAAGGAGAAGACGAAAAACGCCTGCCAGCCCACCGTGTCGCTGGCCTCGGGCGAGCGGGAGAAGCCCAGCCCCAAGTAGCAGAAAATTTGGGCCAAAATAAGGACCCAGAGGACCGAGGGGAGGAAACGGCGAGCCGCCCGCTCGGGCAGCAGCCGGGATTTGCAGAGGGCGAAGAGGAGAGCTTGGGCGAGCAAACCGAGCGCCGCCACCAAAAGCGGGGCCAATTTGTCCTCGGCGTAAACCAGGGCGCAGGTGGCCAGGACGTAGGCGTCGAAGAGGGCGGCGAAGACCACCAGCACCAGCAGGGTTTCGTGGCGCTGCCTTCGGAAATAAGTCTGGTAGAGGTTCTCCAAGGATTCGGGGGCGAAGGTGAGGCGAGCCGAGCGGGGAAGGCAGAGGCAGGGCCCCGAGCTCCTCACCGTCACTTCGTGGGTGCGCCCCACGCCGTGCTCGGGGTCGGAGGGGAGGCTGACCGAGTAGTCGGCCGAATATTCGGCCGAGCATTCGGGCTCGGAGAAAGCCCTGTGCCGGGGCATCATCATCCTCATCATCGCTGCGCATCGCCCGGCTCCGTTTCTCTTTTTCTTTCTTTCTTTCTTTCTTTTTTTTTGCGCCCCAATTTCCCCCCACGCGCACCGGCCCCCCCCGAGCGAGCGCGCTCAGCGGGGCATCCCCTTTTTGGGGAGGAGGGGAGGCGGGGGGGCTTCTTTTTTCTCTCCCCCCGGCGGAGAAAAAGGGCCGGAGGAAGGCGAGAGGTTGCGCTGGAGCTGCTGCTGCTGGTGGTGCTGAGCGGAGAAGGGGGGGGGGGGAGGATTTATAAATAGCGGCTGCCGGGAGCGGTGCCGAGCCGGCCCCCCCAGCCCCTGCGCACTGCCAGCGGAAAAATGTCGCGATGCCTTCCCTGCCCCTCCTTCCAGGGCAGCCGGTTTTTTTTTTTTGGGGGGCGACCCCTTTCAGCCTGGGAGCCCCCCCCAGGTCCCCTCCGCCCCTCTCCTTCCCTCCCTCCCGGCTGCGGCAGCGCGGGGAGCGCAGGTGCGGCCCCGCCGCCACCGGGAGCATCCTCCGGTGCCCTCCTCCTCCTCCTCCTCCTCCTCTTCCTCCTCCTCCTCCTCCTCCTGCATCCCCTTGGGCCCCGAGCTAGGTGGAGGGATGGGGAGGGGCAGGGGGGCTTTCCCCCGGCCGGGGGAGGGAGCCCACCACCGGCTTTGGCGGTCCCGGTGCTCGCCCCCCCTCCCGGTTCCCGGTGCGTCCCCGCCTTCCGTAACCCTCTCGCTGCCAAAGATTTCGGGGGAGGCCCTGAGGATGTTGGAAAAAGGGTGGGGGGGATGGAAATGGGGTGGTAGGGTTGGGGGAATAAGGGGGGAGAAGCGGGGAGGCACGAGGATCCCGTGGGGTTGGCACAGGCGTGGGCGTTGCGGGGTTTTGGGGATGCTCGGAGAGCCCAGGGACGGGTTTGGGGTGTGGGGGAGCTGGAAATGTTCCCCCCACACACCTCCTGTGTAGTCCCCCAAATTCTCCTCCCCGTCCCAGAGCAGCTAAGCCACCCTACAACGTCCCCACGGGGTGCAGAGAGAACCAAGGCTTCCCCTCCCTGCGTGTCCCCCTTCACCCAGGCTGCCCAAATCCTGCCCGAATCACCCCAAGGAGGCTGAGACCCCACAAAAACCTTTTTGGGGACGTTCCCTCTCCTCTTTCAGCCGCTGCCTGCTCCCCTCGGGGGCTCCTGGAGGTGATTTAAAGCTGATGGAGATGCCCTCAATCAGCTCCGGACCTCTAACGAGAGGCTGTCCCGGCTAATTGCTTCTGGGCTGTAATTAAAACCCCAAAACGAGAGCGGCGAAGCCGCAGCTCTCCGGAGGCTCCTGGAGTGCTCGGGGTTAGAGCTGTGGGCTCAGCCCAGGGGAAATTTCAGCCCCTGGGCCCAGGTGTGTGCAGGGAACGAGGTTTGAGCAGCAAAAACCTGACCCGGCAGGGGCTGAGGGGGACAGGGTATGGGGCCAGACCCCAAATCCTCGTGTTTTCCCCTCATTTTGGGGGAAGAAGGTGGGCAGTACCTGCAGGCACCCCAATGGAGGTTTCCTGGATGGATTTTTGGATGCCAAAGGGAAATTTGGGAATGGGTGAGGAAGGACACAGCCAGCACGGAGATGTGCGCACGGGGGGCGAGGACAGAGCCCCCCCCCCAACCTTTGGGTGCTCCAGGTCCCCCAAAAGCAGCCAGGGAGGGCTGCAGCCCCCCACCCCGTCCCCGTGGGGCTCATTCCCTCGGTGCAGCTCTGCAGGGTTGATTCACAACTTCCAGCACCCCGGAGGGCAGCTCTTCGCCACCAGCCTGGGCCGGAGCAGGCTGGGGAGGAGAGAAATGAGTCAAAGGGCAATTAAAGATTAACAGCCAGCAGCCACGGCGGGGAGGACAGCTCACCGGGCTGCCTTTGTTCCAAAACGGGGGCGGTGGGGGGGTTTAATTTAGAAAAAGAACACAACCTGGAAGGTCAGCGGCATCGTTAGGTGGGTGAGCGTCGCCCAACAGCGCTCCTCGACGGAAAAAAAACGCGGAGAAATAGGTTTGGTAGGGAGACGTGGAGGTGTTTTAAGCATTAATCCTGCGTGGCAACACCTCCCCTCTGTCACAGCTGCAGCAGGGGAGCAGAAAGTGGCCCCCCCAGCAGGATGGCTGGGTTCTCGTGCCCAGAAGGAAGCAGAAAGCAGAGCGATGCGAAACGCCGCCGGAATTAAAAAGTTCCTGAAAGCCTCCTGCCGAGGAGTGGGGGGGGGGGGGATCCGCTGCGGATCTACGGCACGGTTTGAAAGGGGGGGGACACAGAAAAGCTGCCTCGAGTGAAGAAATAAATAAATAAATACAAATTGTACCGACCACAGGAAGGAAAAAAAATGAAAAGGATAATCTGGGGGTGGGTTAGGGACACCCCCAGATGGATCCCAAGCCCCTCCAGGCATTTTTTGGGGTGACCACCAAGGAATGCCAAAAAAGGGGTAGGGGCGCTGCGGTTTTTGGGGTGCTGTCTCACCCGGCCATGCCTAACGTGTTGCCACGGGGGGTGTAACTCGAGAGGGAGCGTGGGGCGTGAGGGGCTGCAGCTTTTGGGGCTCTCCCTGCCGGGTTTAGCTCAGGGAGGTGCTGTGATGAGGAGGGTGCTTGGGGGAAGAGCCTTCATCCTTCCAAAGGGACCGTCCTTGGCACCACAACGATTTGGGGAGGAACTGGACGCTCCCTGGAGCCAGTTCCTTCCCGCAGCAGCAGAGGTTTCCTCGAGCAACCCCTCCTCTTCCTCACATCGCCATCTCCTCCCTTTATAACACATCCTGAGCACGTTGGGCTCTCGCTCCCCTACTCGGTGTCCGTGCCAGCGGGTAGATTTGAGGAGGAAAGGGAGCGCCCCACAAGCCGTGGGGCTGACCAGGAGGAGGAGGAGGAGGAGGGGAAGATTTCCAGCTCTGAGGGCCTCCGATCCCTACTTGATGTTTTTGAGGAGCGCAGTCCGGGCGTTCACCACGGCTTTGAAGGCGTCTTCGCTGCCGGGAGCCACGCACTTGTCGGGGTGGAGCAGCACGGCCAGCTTCCTGTAGGCTTTGTTCACCTCGTCCCTAGGAGACAGCACAACAGTGAGGGCTACAAAGCCACAGACAACCCGGAGCAGCCTTGCTTTGGCTGAAAAAGCAGAGTAGGAGACACTTTTGAAGCTTTCCCTCGCTGGCACCACGGTTTTAGGGCACTTCTCAGCAGGGCGCAAGCAGAGGGAGAGGAGAATCCCTCTCCCGGGGCAGGCACCCACCCTTTCCACCGTGGAAAAAATCCACGTGCCACGTGCCTGGGTGGCAGCACAGGCACAGAAAGCTGGGAGGCAGCGTGGGGGCACAAGGAACCCTGACTCATCAAACCACCTACACGCCGGGGCGAAGGCTCTGCACGTCCCCGCAGCCCTTCGAGCCAAGGGTTGTGCACAAGGGGGCACCTGGTGAGGGAGGGGAGTCCTCCCGGGCTGCTGAGCTCTCCTCGTGGGTGTGAGGGGGCTGGAAAAAGGTTCTGGCTCAGCCCCTGCTTTTCGGAGAGGTGAGGCTCGGAGGATGGGGGAGTCCTGAGTGATGTTAGCCAACAATCTGCTCGCCTGGTCCTTTATAAAGTGTATGCAAGCGTAATTTCTGGAAAAGCTGCAATCTCTCTTTGACAACGTGGGCAGCAGCCTCGTGGCAGCCTAAAAGCTTCTCCAGAGCTGGAGAAAGGTGAAGCTGGAGATCACAGAAGCTACCAGAAAGATTCCTGGTAGATTACTGGAAGATTACGGGCTGTTAGGCACGAAATCCCCTCACCTGGTGGCTCCGGGCTTGACTCCCAGCATGTCCCAGCTGTCCTTGCTGTTGCGGATCCTCCGAATGGCATCCGCCTGCTCTTTGGTGAAGCTGACCCCCACGCTGGAGGGGGGCCGCTTCCCGCCGTTGTCGCACAGGTCGATGATGGCAGAGTAGAAAGTCTGCGGGCACAGGAAGGAGTTAGCAGGAGGGAACGCTAAAATTGGGGGGGAAAAAGGGGAAAGTCACGGCTTTCTTGGGGCGGCACTTCACTGCGAAGTTACCTCTAGGGCAGGGGGCTAAGAGGTGTTGTGGGATTCGGGAATTTCGGAGGATTTCAGACCCCCCTGGGTCCATACAGGGTCTATGCCCTCGTGGCCTTCATCCCACGTTACCTGGAACATCTCGTTGATTCCCTCTCCCGTTTGTGCTGACGTTTCAAAGTAAAGAAAGCCCCGGCTCTCTGCCCACAGCCGCCCCTCGCTTTCATCCACGCTGCGGTGCTTGGTGCAGTCGATCTGGAAGGAGAGAAAAGGCAAAGGTCAGAACCTGACCACGGTCTGCAGCGACAGCTGGAGGAGCACAGCTCTGAGGACGATCACCTATTGATGATCTGGTTGGAGAAGCTGATTTTTTATCCCGAGGGGATGGAGGCAGCAGAGAAAGAAAGCAGAGAAAGTAAAAACAAAAAAAAGTGTGAGAGTCCACATAGCACAGAGATAACGTAGCTGCTGCTTGATCCCTTTCTGACCGATGTGTGGCCACCACATTCTGAAAGCCCTGATGATAGAAGGTCTCTAGTGCTCCTCAAACACAGATTCAGCTCTTAAAATGTCTTCTCTTCGAACGTCTTCTCTACAACCTAACAGCGTTTCCCTTTCGGAGGGACCTCCACAGCTTGGCTCACACCAGGAACACGAGGAGCCTTGCACCACAGACCTGTTAATTGCACCTGTTAATTGCACCACAGACCTGTCTCCCTGCCGGGCCCTACCTTGTTTGCACAGACAACGAAGACGACGTTGTCCATGTTGCCGTGAGGGCCCAGCTCCTGCTTCATCTCGGCCAGCCACGAGTCCAGCGCGTCGAACGACTCCTTCTGGCCGACATCGTAGACCAGGATGACTCCCTGTGTGTCCTTGTAAAACTCGTTCCTCACCTGCGGGGCCAAAAAGCAGCTTTTTTTTGTTTGTACCAGCAAAAGCTAGGCGAGTAATACCTCGCTGGGCTACTCACAGGGGAGCAGAGAGCCCATAAAAGACCGATTTTTTACTTATTTTTGTTTTCTTTTGCTTTTTATATGGGCAGCTAGTGATAGGACAAGGGGGAATGGTTTGAAACTAAACGGCAGGAGATTTAGGTTGGATGTTAGGAGGAAATTCTTTACTATGAGGGTGGTGAAACACTGGAACAAGCTGCCCCGAGGAGCTGGGGGTGCCCCAGCCCTGGGGGTGCCCAAGGCCGGGCTGGATGGGGCTGGGGGCAGGGGTTGTGCCCAGGGCAGAGGTGTTGAAACTCGATGAGTTTTAAGGTCCTTGCCAACCTAAGTCATTCTGTGATGTGATTCTATGAATCTGCATGCACAAAAGAATGAGGCACAGTGGCAAAGCATCAGACCAATAAACGGGGAGATTGTAAGGTCTGGGAAATGACTGAGAAACCCATTTGTGTGTGTTTCTGTGTCCCTGTGGATGAGGCAGCAGGGCAGAGCGAGGATCCAGTGTCAGACACTGGACCAAGCCCCTCAGGGATGCTGAGGAAAGCTGGCAGGTGCCAAAAAACCTCGGGGATGGGCAGGCTGAGGGCAGCTCTGTGATGTGCTGCCCAGGGCTGAGGCTGCCTTACCTCGTAGAAGAAAGGGTGCCCCGCCATGTCAAAGATGTTCACTTTGATCTCTCGGTCTCTGATCTGCACTCTGAAAGAACAGGAAGGAAACGCTTGAGAATGCTCTGCCTCAACCCTCGCACAGGCTGTGCCTCCAGATGAATGCTTTTCCTCTGCAGAGAAAGAGCTGGGTGATGAGGGCCAGAGAAATCAATACGAAATTCTGACCGCATGGTTTAAAGGCCAGAAAATCGTCCCAAGAGCTGCTCGGACAAGGAGGACAGGCCCAGCTCTGGATGTAACATGGCAATGGGGCTCTGTGCTACCAGAGGAAGGTGAAATGCAGATTATCTGATGTGGGAAACTAACGCAGCAGAGCCTGGCTGCAGGTCTTTGCCCTGTACACCACAGCATCAGTGCCACGAGGACATCCAGGAGCAGCAGGACACAGGACACACATTTTCCCTTTGTCCCCTGCAGCAGACACCTCGCTGACCCCCCAGAAACCCCCACAAAACGTGGCTCACCCCAGCTCCTCACCACAAAGACACTCACTTGGTGACGCCGTAGTCGATACCGATGGTCGCCAGGTATTTGGGAACGAACCTTTTCTCACAGTAGCGCTTTATAATGCAGCTCTGGGAGGAAGGAAGAGGGAAAATGTCACCAGGAGGACACGGTCACGTTAATGCTGAATTAGCCGCCAGCCTTCAGCCTGCTGGGTGGCTGCAGAGACATTTTCTGCCCTAAGTCCCTAAACCAAGTACTTAACTCACAACCAAAGTATCAATAATTACCAGGAGCAGCTTTCTTTCTGCAAAAGGAAGGGAAATTTGGGATTCCAGCCCTGGGTGTTTGTTATCCCTTAAGCATTTGGAAGAAAAAGCTCAGATCCTTGTGCTTAGCCTCAGGGCACATCTCAGTAAAGGGGTGGCTGCTGAGCGAGACTGAGGGAGCTGTGGGCAGGTCAGAAGGGGAGATTTAAGGGAAATTTAAGGAGATTTAAGGGAAAACCACACTGTCCAGGCACCTCTTAACCTGGCAAAAGGTTCTGCAGAGCCAGGCAAGGCCACAGCTGATGCTTTAATGGCTGTGCAGGCAGAATGTGAAGCCTGGATTTGCAGGTACGAGTGCCACAAAACTCTTGAGGGGATTTATTCCCCTATTTAAAACCCGTTTGTTGACGTGGGGAAGCCAGAGCCCCCAAAATTTTGGGGAACACCTCACGCTGCCTCCTCGGGCTGCCAAAAAAACGCGTTTAGGGACCCAAAGGATCCCCACCTGCCCTGGTTCTGCCCTGACTGAGGGGTGAGCCCCTGTTTGTGACAGGAATTTCGCTGCTGTGGGGGCCTCGGAGAGAAAAATGCGTCAGGGATTTGTGCTCACGCTGTTTTGGGGAAACATTCGGGGTTTTTCGCTCTCTGACAGGCACTCGCCTGCCCCGAGAGGACTTTGAGGTGTTAGATGCTTAAAGGACTTTTATTTTATTTATTTAACACAGGGGGAGGGCAGCGCTTGAGAGAAAAACCCGGCTGGGAGCCCCCCACCAGGGCCGGGCCCTCAGGGCCGCGGGGTTCCCTCAGACGGGGCCGGGTGCCGGCCATCGGGCCTTAGCCATGGGCGCCGCCATGACACCCGCTGGGCGCCGCCATGACACCCGCCCGCTGCCGTACAAACCCGCCCTCCCCCCAACCGCAGCCAATAAGAGCCGCGCATCCACGCGTGGCCCCGCCCCCTCCGCTGTCAATCACGAAGCCTCTCACCACCCTGCCGTACGCAGCGAGCCGCTCTGATTGGCTCCCCGCCTTGCCAGCGCGGCGGCCAATCCGCGACCTCCTCAGCGGGGCAGCCCGCTCTCCGATTGGCCAGCGCGCCTGTCCTTCACCTCCCGCCAGCCAATCGCGCCGCCTCACCTTGCCCACCTCCGCGTTGCCCATGGAGATGACTTTAATCCGCAGCGGCTTGCGCGGCTCCTTCCGCTTCGGCGCGGTCGCCTCCATGGCGGCGGCGGCGACAACGGCGGCGACAACGGCGACTTTAGGCCGGGAGCGGGGCCGGGGCCTCCTCAGCGCCCTTGCGCCGCCGCTTGCGCGACACTTCCGGGTTCTTCCCCCCCCCCCCCGCGTCTCCATAGCAACGGCGGCAGGCGGAGATCTCGCGAGATTTGGCGGGAGTTGCGGTTCCCGCCTTTCTGACGGGGAGGGGGGAGGGGCCCCCTCAGAGCCCCCTCAGGGCTCCCCTCAGGGTCCCCCTCAGGGCTTTGGGGCTCGCCTGGAGCCGTTTTTGGAGCTTTTTAGTGCTCCTTGGGGCTTATAAAGGATTTGGGGAGGGTTTTTGGTCAGTCAGGTGTTGGTAGGAGGAGGGGGAATGGTTTTAAAGCCAAGGGGTGGTTTGGGTTAGGGGGTGAGGGGTCCTTCCCTCAGGGGGTGCTGAGGCGCTGCCCGGGGATTTCCACGGATTTCGAGGGATTTCGAGGGATTTCTCGTCCCTGAGGTGTTTTTGAGGCCAGGTTGGATGAAATCTTGAGCCTCATATGAAAAGGAAGGGGTGGGGAGCTGGGGGTCGGCCTCTTCTCACAGGTAAATAGTGATAGGAGCAGAGGGAATGGCCTCAAGTTGTGCCCAGGGGAGGTTCAGGTGGGAAATGAGGAGACATTTCTGCTCAGAAAGAGCAGTCAGGCACTGGGACGGGTTGCCCAGGGAGGTGGTGGAGTCACCGTCCCTGGGGGTGTTCAAGGAGAGGTTGGACGTGGTGCTTGGGGACAGGGTTTGGTGGTGACATTATTAAGTAGGGTCTGGTGTTGGTTAGGGGCTGTTGGGCAGCTAGTCCCCAGGGCGCTGTGTGGTAATTAACAGCTTTAATTGCTCGTTCTAGGCTCTGATGAGAAGGAGCAGCCCTGCATCATGCCTCCAAGACAAGGTAACAGGAGGGGGACACGACGGCTCTGCGACTGCGCCTTCCCCAGTCTGGGTGGCACCAGTGAGATGGGGATTTATGGACACCAGCAGGGCTGCGTCCCCCTTGGAGGTGGCTCGTAAGGAGCTGCTGGGGGTTTTGAGCCCCCTTTCTTCAATCACCTCATGTTCAGGAGCTCCCAAGGCAGGGGCCACGTGGTTTGAGCACCTCTCAGCTCTTTGGGACTTCGTTGTTACAGCAGAGATGGACCTGAGAGGGTTTTCCTGTCCCAAACTCCTCCTGGGAGCACGTGTCAGGTTTTGAGAGTCCCTGCATGGAGCAGGGGGTGGCAGGGCACCTGGAAAGGGATTTTATTGTACAAAATTTGGGAACACACTGGCTGCACACACCGCCACCACCTCCTCACAGGCACCGGGGCTGCGGTGGGGATCCCTGGTGCGTGCCATGGATGAGGGGTGTTGGGTGTTGGGTCCTCGCTGCCCCTTTTGGCTTCCCCCTGAGTGGCAGCGAGGAGCTGCACTGACAGATCTGTTACGGGCAGTTTGGGAACCTGCTGCCTCGTTATCTGTTCTCATAAATCTTTGCCAAAAGCGCCCCGCTGTTACACGGCTCGGGGTGTTTTATGGCTCCGGCTCTGCTCTCCATCTTCACGTCACCTTATCTCGAGGTTTTGTTCTTTATCTTGCGTTCGTGCTTCGTCTTCCTGCTGTCCGGCCGTTGGATGGAAGCAGGCACAACGCTTTGTGGTGCTGCGAGCCCATCCCTTTAACCCTTTCTCCGTGTGTCCTACACATCCACGTAGAGTTATTTCTGCTCATGGGGATGCTCATGGTTCTTGGAAACCTCTCTGGGAGTGGAGTGGTGTGAGAAAGGGGGAAATTGGGATTTCCTTCCAGCCTGGCTCAAGCGTGTCCTTTGTTAGGCACAGAGGAGGAAGAAAGGTTGCTTCTTCTCCTCGTTTTGTGACCAGATATAAATCCTCTGTGGGGTTTTCTTGGGGCTGGGAGAGTTGGAGACCCTCTGTATAGGGGCAGGAGGTGGAGGGAGGTCGTTTAACACCACACCAACGTCTTCTGTGAGTCCGGGCAGCATAAGGGACTGGGACACGGCACCAGACACCATACCAACAGCTCTAGGGATAAATAATTTATCTCTCAATAACGGAGCTGTAATAAATACGGAGCAGCAGTGCAATTACCCGGGTCTTAATGACAACAAACGCAGTAATTCATTAATCCTGCGCTAGGCTTCACAGCTGGGCACGCAGCGACTTCCTCGGGGATCCTCGTGCCCGGGAAGGGGATCCTCGTGCAAGAAGCACCACGAGAAGCATCAGGGCACGAGAACAGCCCGACGGGGCCGCTGTGGGCACCAGAACAGATCCGGGTGTGCGAGATCCACCACGAAAACCCCGAGGGGGCTGCGGGAACAGCTCCGGGGAGCCCTCCCGTGGGTTTGGGGCTCGGTTCTACCCCTGGCACGTGGCTGGCGATGGGATGCAGGGCTCGGTGGCGGCGACCCCGCTGCGGCTGCTGCTGCTGCAGCAGCTCCGTGTCCATGGAAACAGCTGCGGGAGGAAGGAAGGAGGGAGCAGACGGGGCCGGGGACACACGGACGTGCCTGACAAAGGAGGTGGCCGGGGTGAGAGGCTCCTCGTTGTCACCACAAGTCCCCAAGGCCCGGAGCTGAGCAGCTCTGGGTGCCCCACGTGCCGTGCTGAGCTCGGCACCGCGGTTCTGAGCCCAAAGTGGGGACGGGGGCCACTCGTCCTGACCCTATCCTCAAATAATTTGGTGTTTCTTCCCCCCTGCTGGCAGGGGGAGAGGCTGGAGGTCGGCTGGTGACCGTGAGGGACCCTTCAGGGCGAGGCTGGAGTGCGTCGGGGTCCCCGTGGTGGCACGACCCAGCGTGGCGATGACAGGTAGGGCCCGACGGGGGCGGTGCTGGCGGTGGGGAGGGTTTGAGCCTTCTCCATCCTCCTCTGGTGCCATAAATCAGGAGGAGGAAGGTCCCGGAGGCAGCCTGGACCCGCACCCTAAATCAGGGCAGGGTGCTCGTGTTTAGCGTGTCTCGTTGAGGCTCTGTGGGGTTTCTCCAGTGGTGACAGATTTGGGGGTTCGCAGCAGCCCTGTGTGTTTTGGGGTGAAGCTGAGGGGACCTCGGGGCTCCTGGTGGCGACTGGGGTTGGGGCTGTGGCTACCACCATGTCCCAAAGGGCCACTGTCCCTGTGACCCCCGTGACCCTTTGCAGCGAGCCGCTGGTCCCAAATCCTTCCAAACTAAGGGGCGAGGGGGTGTGGGGCAGGAGGATTTGCCCTCCTCACCACGTTTTACCCCACATTTTAGCTTTTTGATTTACCCCGGGTTAAGCAGAGCTGCTGGGGAGCCCCTCGATGTGCCAACCACCGCGTGTCCCCCACCCCAAATCCCCTGGGAACTTGTCTCCACCACCCGGGGAGCCCCCAGCGCGCCTTCAACTCCCCAAATATTTTAATTAACACCTAATTCCCCTGCAAGCAGGCAGAGGGGACGGACCCTACGGTCTCTGGGGGTCCCTCCCAACCCCAACGGGGGGGGCACCAGCTTTTTAGCGAGGTTTTGGCCGTGCTGAACCGAGCCGAGCCGTGCCAGGGGCGGGCGCTGCAGCCGTGCCTGCGGGAGGAGCCGCTGCGGTGCCGCCCCCCCCATCCTCTCCTCCCGGTGCCGCCCCCGGCCGGCAAATCGAGCCGAGCCGAGCCGGGCCAGCAGCAGCGATGTACGGTGAGTGCCTGCGGAACCGGGCGGGGGTCGTGCGAGACCCCCGCGTTGGGTTTAGGGCACCCCCTCCCCCGTGCGCCCCCGCTCCGGTGTTTTTTGGGGGGGGCTCGTCCTGAACCGGGCCTGGATCCCCCCCCCCCTTACTGGGGGTGTCCCCTCTTTGGGGTGGAGGGATCCCGGTCTTGTATAGGGCCGTGCACCTCGCTGTTTTCTGTGGGGTGCCCCCCCGGGGGGGTTTGGGGGAGCCTCGGTCCTGTATAGGGCTGTGCGATCCCAGAGTGGCTGGGGGGTGCCTCCTTTTTGGGGTGGGGGCACCTCCGTCCTGGGCACGCCCCCAGTTATTGGGGGGTGACCTGCTTTTTAGGGCCCGGAGGGGGACTTTGGTCTGTTATAGGGCCATGCATCCCCTTGATTACTGGGGGGCGACCCCTCTTTGGGGTTGGGACACACAGGGTGGTCCCATAAAGGGCCGTACGCCCCCTTTATCAGTGGGGCATTGAGGGGGGGGGATCTTTTAACCTCCCCCCTCCCCATTAACCACATTAGCAGCCCAGGTTCTTGGGGTCGCCTCCTCCCCGGGACAGGGAGGGGAAGCTCCTTTATGGGACCGCTGACCCCAGATTATAGGGGAAATCTCCCAGTCCTTTGTGTGGGGCTCTCCAGCTCCACCTGGTTACCCGGGGAGGTGTCCCACACCCCCCACCCCATACCAGGAGAGATTTGTCCCTATAAATCACCCCCCACTGCGATACTGGGGACTTGCAGGTCCCGACGCAGAGCTCGGCCCTATATACACCCCCGTGACCCCAAAGCCAACGGGGTGGTGCTGGGCGTAACGGGGAGCAGCTGGCCGAGCAGCTGGCCGCCCCCCCCGTGCCGGGGGCTGCGCTAAGCTGCCGGGAGATTTTTGGGAAGGGCTCTTAAATCCTCCCTCCCCGAGCATCCTTCCCGGGGCTGTCGGCGCTGCAGAGATGGGAACCCCAACCCCGGAGCCCCCTGTTTATGGGGTCGCTGCCGGCTGAGCCCCTTCTCAGCGAGGAGCTGCGGTGCCGGGGGGTGAGTGCGGCGTGGGCACGGTGCTTCCCCTCCCCTCCTGCGTTATGGGGCGCTCGATTTTAGGGCTCAAACGGAGCGGGGACGTTTCGGGGTGCCACACACCCAGGAGAGGAGCGGAGCCTGCGGGTTTGGGAGCGGATTTTCCAACCCGGAGGGGAGGGAGGCCGAGGCGGGACGCTCGGTTTCCTTTCCTCCCTTCTCCTCGTCACGGTGCTGCCTCCTCCGTGGCCTCCGTTGAGTCATTCAGGTCTCCCAGCTGGTATTTTTCCACCCGCAGAACCCCCGGGGGGGTTCGTTTCCTTCCCCTCCTCGCCCTGGGGCAGCTGGTGGTGAGGTTGCCACGAGCTCTGGGTGCTGCCCCCGTTAGCAGCAGCGCCCCAAATGGGAGAGGCGAGACCCCAAAAGCCCCCCAAATGTCGGGGTTGTGGCGTGCTCAGCCCCCGGCTGCCCGCGGGGAGGTGCCCCCGTGCCAAATCTGCCCCCACCTCCTCCTCTAGCATCTCGGGGGGTGTCCCCACTCCAAACCCCACACTTTTGGGGATGTCCCCGCTCGGAAATCCGCCGAATTTCCTCCCGGGATGTAACGTGAGGAAGGGCAGAGCGTCCCCGGGGGACCTGAATGTGAATTTGAGGACAAACGCTCGGTCCCTTCGCCCGGAGCCGGGCGCTGCTGCAGCTCGCGGGCTTGGAAAGCTTCCAGGGGCTGGCAGAGCTCCGGGGGATGCTCGGGCTGCAAGGTGCAGCGGGGATGCAGGGGATTATCCGTATCTCTTTAATCTCTCTTTTAACCAGCATTTGGGATTAGATTAGGGCTTTTTGGGGGAGTTTTGGGGCAGGCGTCCTGCCCGCAGAGCATTTCGGGGACCTGCCTGCCCCCCGGGGAGGTGTTTATGGGGTGTGATGCCCTCCCGCCCTGCGCTTCCATCCCTCTAACCCCACAGCGCTGGCGTTCGCGTGGCCGAGGCGAGGTTTTGGGGGAGTTCTGCCTGATTTCTCCCCGCTTTTGGTTTCCTTTCCCAGCTTTCGGTGAAAATGGGGGAACCGAGAGCTCCGAGCCCAGCCTGGGCAGCCGGCGTTGCATGGATTTGTGAGCCCGGCCTTCAGGCTGCTCTTCCATCTCCCATGCGAGCTCCCTGTCCCGAGCCAGGCTCAGGGATCAGCTTCTCCTCGGGATATTTCATGCCACAGGAGCTGGGGTGCTGCCGAACAGGGTTGCCCTGTTTTTGGGGGCTCTCTGATCCCAATTTCGGGGGAAACCCACGCTTTTGTGCCCTGCTTTGTGCACCGAGGCTTCAATCCGAAATCTGTGCCGCTGAGGGGCTCCGGGAACGGCTTCACAAGCAGAGAGTAGGGTGAGAGCCGGGAACGCCGGGCATGGGATGGATTTTATGGTCCCGTGGGGGCTTCCCAGTGGGATTTCACCATCCCCTGCCCCTTTTTGGCATCCCTGGAGCCTTGTTGGAGCTGCGGCCGGCCTCGGGAGCCCTACCCAACCCTGGCAGCCACCGGGTTTGTTTCCACCACGCTCCCTCCCTGCGCTTTGTGCCGGCACGAGCTGTCTCCTCCCACCCCAGAGGAGCTGGAAATAGAGGTTCCCTTTTTTATTTTTTATGTTTTTTCTTTCGGCAGCAGGGGAAACCAGGCTTTTTGGCTGCCCGGGGAGGAGGCGGCGCCGCCGGGTGGGCGCCAGCAAGGTCCCTGCGAGCTGTCTGGGGCTGCCGGCGTGCCACCGAGTCCCAGCCAGCAGCCGATGGGTTCTGCGCTGAATAAATCGCCCTCGGTGGGACCGGATGGCTCAGCAGGGGAACGTGAAGTGCAATTAAACTCTCTTTTCTTTTTTTTTTTCCCCTTTTTCTGTGCTTTTTAACTAAACGATCCGCAAATTAATTCAGCGCCCGCGGAGGAGAAGGGGCTGGTGGTGGTGCCGGAGGCTTTCCCGAGCTTCGTGCTAAAACCTCGAGGGCTGCGGTCGTGTCCAGGGCTTGATTTTGGGCTCAAACCAAACGACAGCTGGCAGATTTTGACATCTGCACTGAGGACGGGGCCGGTGCCAGGCCAGTAGCTGGCATGGCTCGCCTCGAAGCTCATCAAACCCGACAGCTTCAGGGCTCTGGTGATGTTGCACAAGCGCTAATTGCAGGAGCAGACGCCGCCGAGCTCTCGGGGTGCCTGGAGTTGTTCCCCCCCTCCGCGGGGGCTGCCACCAGCCCAGGAAAAGGGTGGAGGAAAGCGTGGCCGCGGCGCTTTCATCTCATTTCCTTCTCTGTGAGGCTGTTTGGTTACGATTTCTGCCCAAGCTACGGCTGGGCAGAATTTGATTGCTTTGATTTAGCAAATCCTGAGGAAATGGGGAACCACGGGAACGCGGCCGGTCAGCAGCTCCCATCAAACCTCGCTGCGTTGCTGTGAAACACTCAAAAATCATTCTTATTTTCTTTTTTTTAAAACCCTTCCCAACTTGCGAACCTTCCCGTGTCCTCTGTGCCGTGTGGGCTCGCAGAATAAACCCGGCTCTTAATTAAGCAGATTTTTGGAGGCTGTGGACCTTAACCCAGCTCTTAACCAAGCAGATTTTTGGAGGCTGGACCTGGACCAAAACCACCTCATCCACGCCGTGCCCAGCGAACGTCTCGCGTCCAGGAGCCCTGCTGCTAGCCGGGGCCGGCGTTTTGAGTGAAATTTCCTGCTATTTAAGCTCTTTCCTCCCCCAAATCTCCCTCTGCCCTGCGTTGTGTAATGAAACTGGCTCCCCTTAAGGCGCTTAACTCCTTTTTTCCTCTCCTCCCCGCGTGCTGGGACCGTGGCACCGAGCTCCCTGCCCTCACCGCGCGGCTTCCCCTGCGTGCGGTGTGGTTTTAATGCCCGGCCTTAATCACCGCAGGGAAATATTAATTAATCTGGCTGCTGCTGGAGCTTGGCGTGTGCCTGCTGGGGTGTCGGGCCGGCGGGCTGAGCTGGTGAAGTGTCTGGGTCTTTTGCAACGTCCCCCAAAGTGTTTTTGGTGTCCCCCAAAGCGTTTTTGCTGTCCCCTAAAGTGTTTTTGCTCACGGCTTTTCCATCCAGCCTTCGCAGCCCGAGGCTGGCTCTCCTCACAGGACGCTTTGCTGATGCCCCCTGAAGGACGAGCGGCGATTGAGGAGCAGGGAGCAAGCTGCAGCCACACAGCCCGAGCCTTTTGGGGAGCTCGGGAGCTGTTAATTACCATCAGGGCATCCCCTAACGAACAGAACCGGGGGGCTGAGCCACATTTAGCCCCTTCCCCAGCTCTGCCTGCCCCATTAGATGTGTTGGGGGGGAGTCTCTCGCCTTTTTATGGCTTCTCTTCCTTTGCATGGGGATGCAAATTGCTGATTTCTTACCTTCCCCAATATTTTCTCCCCTCTTGACGTGACCTGGGGCTCCCAGCTTCATCCAACCCTACAGGGACCGGGACCAAAAAGTCTCCGGGCCAGCCCCAATATCGCTCGGTGACATTTCTCCCATCACCATGCCTCGGGGATCTCATCCTGTGCCCCAAGCAGGTTTACCCAAAGCCCTGAGGGAGCTGGAAGCCGGGCAGGGAGGAGGCTCTCACGTCGGGCACGTAAATGGGATTTGGCTAAGGGGATTAGGGGAAGGTAGCTGGTTCGGGGTGTGGGGACAGCACCGAGCTCCCTGCCTCCGGGTCCCTTTTCCCTACCCGGAGCTGAGCGAGCGACCTTCGCGGCGTATTAGATTTAACGAGGGATTTTGCTTGATTTAATTAAGATTTATTTGCAATCAGCCGGAGTGCCCTTATTAAGTAAATTCTGAGTAAGGCGTCTGGGAGGCTTTCTGTTGGGGTTTGTCGCCGGCGTGCCGCTGAAATAGGAAGAGGGGAGGGGGTTTGTGGGGAAAGGGTCGAGGTCAGCGCGTGGTGGGAGGGTGTGCGGCTGTGTCCCGGTCTCCTCTGGCTGCTCTGCCATCCCAAAAGCCCCCGGTACAGCAGGGACCCTATAATTATCCCCAATTAGATGGATTTTCTCGGATCTATCAAAGCAAAAGGCCCTTTTGGCTCGCTTCACCCCCCCGTGAGAGCACGGAGGTGACCTGAGAGCGGTGAGGAGCCCAAAAAGTGACCCCGGGGGGGCAGCGAGGTGGAGGTGATACCCGCGACATCACACACATTTTTGGGGCACCAGCAGGAGCCCCGAGTTTGTGGGTTCCCCACCTCGTTCTTCCCACAAGGAGGGGGTCAAATCGTGTTTCTTTGTGCCTCAGTTTGCCCGTTCTTGAAGAAAATTGATGTCCGTGGCTGCCGGCAGGAGGAGAGCACGTGGCACCGCGCGGGTCCATCCTCGCTCCTTCCCCATCCCTTCATCTTTTGGGGTCATCTTTTGGGGTCATCTTTTGGGGTCATCTTTTGGGGTCAGCCACGACCCGCTGAGCCTCCCCCTCATTATCTCTGCCCGTGCTGCTCGTTAGCCAGCAGCGCTAACGAGGGGCAAGCTTCAGGCCCTGGAGACCTCTTCGAACCCACCCCCTTCACCTCGTACCCCCGAAAGCTGCTCCCCAAACCCCCCAGCTCCCCACCCACCCCCGCCGGCGGAGCCGAGCCAGCGCCGCCGTGTTCCCAGCTGCCATCGGAGCCGCCTCGGTGACTCAGCAGCCGCGCTGAAAGCTCCCTTATTTATTTAAACGCCCGCTCGGCTGAGCATCGCCCCGCAGCGATGCTGCCGCCGCTTCTCTGCCTCCTCTCGTGGTGCTTTGGGGCCGAGAGCGACCCCCCGAGCCCCTCGCCTTCGCCCCGACCGCGATGGCTTTGAGCAGCTGGGTGCTGAGCCCCGCGCTGCAGCTCTGCGCCGCCGGCCCTGCCTGCTCCTGGGAGATGCTGCACGTGGCCGGAGCAGGTACGCTTCTCCCCCCCCCCTCCCTTTACCCCATTTCGCTTCTTTTTGGGGTGCTGGCTTGGGGTTGGGAGAGGGGAGCCGCTCTTCTTGGCCACGGGGGGTTGTCACCAGCCCTGGCGCGAAGATTTGGGGCATTTGGGGACGTTATCTGCAGATATTGGGACCAGACTTGTTGTTTTTGTGGTTTTTTTGGTTTTTTTTTTTTTCCCCCTCTGGAGAGCCCTTAGGGGAGGGGAAGTAAAGCGAGGCAAAACCTTCTGTTTTCTTCAAGCTCCGTGCTATTTTTATTCCGGTTTCTTACAGATTTTTTTTTTTACACTCCCCCCTGTCTGTGCGCGCGTTTCTCCAGCCAGGCTGGGTTCAAGCAGACGGAAGGCAGGGATTTGGGACGGGAAAGTTCCTCCTGGTTTGATGCAAACAGGCAGGGGGATGAGCGCCCAGCTGCAGTGAGCTCAGCCCTCGTGCGAGGCATCAGAGAATCGTGCCCTGAACGAGGCTTTGTCCTCCCTCTGGCTGGAGCTGGGCCGTGAGGGATCCTGCCCTGGCATGGTTTTAGGGTTTGGGCAGCAGGGTCCTGGCTTTTCCCATCCCAAAAGAGCTCAAAATGCTTCCCGGGGTGGGTTACGGTGCCTGGTCCCCCTCCAGGGGGCTTCGTCTCCGTCCTGCTGCTGCTCTGCCTGCAGGTGAGGCCTTAAAAACCTTGTGCTCGGAGAAGAAGGGGTCACGTCGGGTGAGAGGGAAGGCACCGGGGTTTAATTAAGTAATTATGATCGATGGATCCGCGCTGGGTCTGCTCCTGGCTTCGTTCACCGGGGCGAGGGTGGCAGCTTGGCTGCTCTCCCGGGGTTAACCCTGAGCCACGCTCCGAAATCCCGCAGCTGGAGGTGGGATAACTGCTGGCGGGGCCGTGGGATTTAATGGGATCGCTTCCTTCCATAATTTCCATTTTCCTTCCATAATTTGCAACGAGATGTTCTCTCTTCCTTCTCCCTCTTGGTCTGAGGACCCGCAGAAGATCTCCCGAGGTCCAGAAACCCAAATCCGAGGGGGCTGTGCCCATCGGGGAGCTGCTTCCCTGGGCGAGAGGAGCAAATCGGTCGCGCTCCGACGTCAAACGGTGCTGGTCAACAGCCAAATCCCTGCCTGTCAGCTGCGTTTTTTTCCTGGTTTTGTGTTTTTTTTGGCTGCTAAATGCTGGCTTGTCATCGAGCTGGTGCCGCTGAATCTGGGGACGTTTTCCTCCCAAGGACATCTCCACGCAGGGGCTGAGGGGTTTTATCCCTGCTCACCGGCTCTGCCTTCTCTCTCCCAGGTGTGTGCGGCTGCTGCGGCGCCCTGCGGCCCCGCTACAAGAGGCTGGTGGACAACATCTTCCCCGAGGACCCAGAGGTAAGCGAGGCGCTGGTTTTTGGAGCTGTGGGGCTGCGGGGATGCGACGTGACCTGCCCCAAAACAGCTCCTGGGAGGCTGGGGGGTGCTCTGGCTTCATAAAACCACACGGGGAGGCGTTTGTCCCTCTTTGTAGGAGAGGAAAAGCAGCTTCTAAGAGTGGGATCTTAAAGCTTCAGCTCAGAAGCTGCCTGGGTGCAGGAAAGTTTGGTGCCCTGACTGCTTCCTCACTAAATGGGATTTGGGGATGCCCAGGGGCTTCCAGCTGCTCCTGAAGCACCCCAAATTTCCCCTTTTTGTCTCCGTTTCACAACCGAGATGCTGCCGAAACGGTTTGTGCTCCTGATGCTTTCTGGCTCCGGCTGCCCTGATGCCCTGCCCCGCTCTCTTTTAGGATGGGCTGGTGAAAACCAACATGGAGAAGCTGACTTTTTACGCCCTGTCGGCCCCGGAGAAGCTGGATCGCATCGGTGCCTACCTCTCCGAGCGCCTCATCCGCGACGTGAGCCGGCACCGATACGGGTGAGGGCTTTAGGGCTGTTTCTACCCCCTCTCTTATCAGCATAAAGTCAGGCCAGAAGATAAGAGCGGGGTTTTGGGCTACGGGGACGTGTCTGGTCCATGCTCCGGGGTGTCCCCAAGCTTTTAGGACGCTGCAGAGGGACTCCTGCCTCCAGAAGGGAGAGGTGGAAGCCCGCAGGGGTGTGGAAACTCTTCTCAAAGTCACGAGGGGCCTCTAAACCCCCCAGTGGGTGGATGTCTGGCTGTGAACGAGCACGAGTGCCCTGATTTGAAGCACACGGGGTCAGGGGGGGAGCTGGGGAGGGCTCCTTCCCTTTGAAATAGCTCCCGGCTTGATCCTCGCTGTCTGCTGAACAAAGCCAGGGCTCGGCTGCGTGGTGCTGAGCCTTTCATCCCGGGGGAAGAGAAGAGGAGCCGGCGGCCTGCCTCAGAAGCGTGGAAGTTGGCAAACCTTCAAAGCCTCGTCCCCGGGAGTGACAGGACGGCCAAAAACCCTGCCTGGTGTTCTGCGCCTGGTAACGGGGCTCTGCTCCTGACGTCGGGAAGAAGAAAAGGCTGTCGGAGGGGTTTGACATCAAATCACAAGCCTCGGGAGGGGGGATGCGTTCCCTCCCCGTCCTCCTGCGCCTTCAGGCCAAGTTTTGAAGCCTAATTTGAAACGTCCCCACGAGAGAAGTCACGCTGACACGATAATATCGGCCCCGTGGCGTGGTTTCCAGCCTCCTTTCCTACCAGAAAGGAGCGTGGTGCTTCCTGCTGCTTCTTGGTCACCCCTCCGTGGCTTTTTTTCCCTCGGGGCTGGTTTTTAACCCAGTTTGACAGATGGGTCGGAGCCTGGCAGACCCAGGAACGCTCGGTGCTGATTTTCACGGTACCTGGACGAGCTGTAACTCATCGAAGCGTCCAAAGGACAGGCTCCGCTCGAGCACGCAGCCAGGTTTCACCAGTTCCTGGGGCCTCGGGAGAAAAGATCAGTCCTGCTGTGTTTTACCAGCCAAAACCTGGAATTTTAGGACTTATTCCTTCCCGTGAGAGGGCAGTTTTCCTCCCCAGCTGCCTTTTAGCGTGCAGTTAGGGCTGGCACAGGTGTGTCGGGCTGCCTGGGGCCTCCGGAGAAAAGATGCGTCATCATTCGCCACCTGATGGGCACCTGAGTGAGATTCAGCACCGGGCACGAGGCTTTCCAGCTTCCTCTGGAGGCAGGAGTGTGGCAGGAACGGATGAAGAAATAGCCCGGATCCAGCTCCTGCTGGAGGAAATGTTTTTCAGCCCAGGAACCTCGGTGGCCCTGCGAGTAAACTTTGCTGTGCTGAAATATTCATATTTTTTGGAGCACGTCAGTAATTCCTCCAGCACTGCGGCCTCATCCTCTCCTTTCTCCGTGGCCAGGGCTGGATCTGCGAGGGCTGCTGCCCTCGATGCTGAGCCCGCTTTGTGCCAGCGCTTCCTCACGGGATATAAAGGCTGGAGGAAAGCAAGGGGAGCCCAGAGAGGACCCAGGGAGGGGTGCACGGTGTTGCTGGCAGCCCTGATCCTGGAACATCCACATTTTCCTTAGGAGGAGGGATGCTGGGAGCCAACTAACAACCCCTGGAAGCTATTTAGGATGTAAACTCTTCCCCGTTGGCTCAGCTGGGGCAGAAGTTTGGCGTTGGGATGGCTTTACTGGGGAGAAGGGAGGAGGAGGGAGGTTCCGTGGGGCTGCGCCCGTGCTCACCCTGCCCTCTGCCCTCTCCCAGGTATGTCTGCATCGCCATGGAAGCCCTGGACCAGCTCCTGATGGCCTGTCACTGCCAGAGCATCAACCTCTTCGTGGAGAGCTTCCTGAAGATGGTGGCGAAGCTGCTGGAGTCGGAGAAGCCCAACCTGCAGATCCTGGGGACCAACTCGGTGCGTAGCAGCGCGGGGGGGAGGCGGCGGCGGCGCCTTGCTGCCCCTCTCCCCGGCTTTCAGCCCTGCCTGGCGTCCCTGCGGCCCTGGGATGGGGGCGAGGGGATGTGGGGGAGGGTTTAGGGTGTCCCCCTGTGTGCGTCCTGCGATGGGTGAGCTTTCTGAGCCCCCAGCAGTTCTCGCATCCCTCAATTTCTGCCGCTGTGCCCCCCAGCTCTCAAATTCCTCTTTTCCAAGAGTAGCCTGAGGACACGACGGGGGCCGTCAGCAGTTTCAGACAATAGCCCGACTTAGGATGATCCCTGGTGGATTTGGGGAGCTCGTTGTGCTCATAAAAGGCCTGGCTTAATCAGAGCAAATAAATGGCTTGGCCAGGCCGGGGATGCGGCAGTCACAGCCATAAAACGAGCGAGGTGATGTCCTCACAACATCCAGACTGCTGATCCCAGCCAGCGGGGATGCTTGTGAGCTGCCACCCTGCTGGGAGACAGCTTGCTCCTTGCTGGTTTTACTGGGAGTACTGGGCGTAGCTTAAAAAAAAGAGGGGTTAGGTGAAGCCCAGCCTGCTTTGGTGGTCTAGGCAGATGCTTTTTTGAGTGCCTGAGAAATTCAGGGACAGCTCAGCCCTCTTTTTTTTTTCTCTGCTGCGTGATGGGAGCGGAGACCTCTCACCCCCCCTTCTCCCTGGCTGCTGATTGCTCCCAGCTGAGATGGGAGCTGCCCATTTCTTCATCCTCAGCTCGGGGAGGAGCAGGAGCATCAAAAACTCAGCAGGACAGGGCTGCCTGCTGCCGACAGCACCTTACCGTGGTGGTTTTATTGTGACAATGCCACTACAAGCCCCAAAGTGTGCTGCAGGAGCTGCCTGGGGAAGCTCCTGGGGATGGGAGCAGGATCTCCAGGCACTACCCTCATCCCTCTGAGCTCTCCAAACCTCTCGAGATGTGCCTGGGGTGCTTGGATCCAGCCCAGAAGCGAGCAGCTCTTCTCTTGCTGACAGAATCCCCTGCGCTGTGCTGCAGCATTGCCTACAAACACGTGCAACATCCCCTTGCCCAGCCCCTGAGTGCTCACTGCAAGGGCTCACGATGCCCAGCATGGATTTTAGGGTCGTGGCCCTGACCCCAGAGCAGGAGGCAGCGTTTTTTCCGTGGGCAGCCATCGGTGGGGGATGCTGTAACGAGGGGTGCAGGTGAGGAAGGATGATTTAGTGGCTTTTTCCGTTGTTTTCTGGAACGTGGTGGAGTTTGGAGGGCAAACAGCAGAGAAACCTCGCGGGCTCTGGTGTGGAGAAGTGAGTAAGGATAACGAGCCACTTCTCCCAGGATCTGCTAACAAGGAATGTGCCTCGGGCTCGGGCTTAATTAGTGGCTGCTGTCTCAAGCAGCCCTTCACAATAAGGGAGCTGATGGCGAAGGCGGGAGGAGGTTGTTTATAGAAACCTGCTCCCGGTGAGTCATTCTCCCTGAAATCTCTCCTTCCACACATCTCCCTCCTCGCCACGAGCCGCAGAGGGGCCGCGAGGACCCGGCGCAGCAGCAGCAGCAGCAAAATCCAGCAGCCTGGGATCCCACAACCCCCTCCTATAATCCCCGGGGTGAACATATGGAGCGGCAGCTCCAATCCACTTTGGTTCCTCATCCTCGTTAGGAGGCTGCCGGGCAGCCTCCCTGCTTTGGGTAGGAACCGTCTAATTTCCAGCTCGGCCTCCTCCCTGCTTTGTTTTTCCTCGAACCGTGGTGGATTTGTTGTTTAAACAGCTCTTCCCCCTTCCTCATGTGCCTCTTCCGATGTCTTTGCTGGATTTCTGGGCGGCAGCGTTACCCTGCCCAGCCCCACAGCCCTCCAAACCACAGCAGGAGCAGCGTTTTGGTGCAGGGTCTTAAATTTTGGCGGTGGAGATGGGTCACGGAGCCCCAGAGCAGCTTTTCAGCTTCATTTTCAGCGACAGATCTCACACCAGTTCCTTTCCCTGAAGGTTTGGTGCCCTCCCTGCCAGCACAACTCTCGCTGGGACTTTTCCATCCCTGTCCCAGGGCTGTTTTTTGCCCCGGGGCACACGTTGGCAGTGGGATCGGGGTGGGCACCCCCCACAAATGCCCTTGTAGGGGCAGCTTGCGCATGGTCTGAGTGCCCTGAGGTGCTCAGCACCCCCTGGCAGCAGCTGGAGGGCGCAAAGTCCTCAGCTCACTGCCAACCTCAGCTACTTTTGCTGAGGACGTGCCCTTTTCTTCCCTTTTTCACAACTTTTCCTGGCCGTGGGGTGCTCGGGACGGCTCCCCCGGTGCCTGCTCCTCGCTGCGCATCCTGCCCTCGCCTCCGGCTGCACGTGGAGTTGCCACGAGCTTAAAAAAAAACAACAAAAAGTAATAAAAAAAACCACCACGTTGTGCTCTCTGCCTGGTACAGAGGTTCCTTATGTAACAGCCCTGCATTTTGCTGGTGAGTAAGAGGGAGTTTATCAGCCGGAGCCGGTCCCTGCGCTCTGGGAACGCTTCCTGGCAGGGCTGAGCCAGCTCCTTCGGTGGTACGGAGCCAGCCTTGGCTGCTGACGTTATTCCCAGCCTGGCGCAGCGTGCTGATCGCTGCCCAGCCCTGGGTGACAAGAGCTGGGACGGGCAGGCTGGCTTGGCCAGCTGCAGAGGGACCCCAGGGGCAATTTCCCTGCTGCTCTCGTGGCAGGGCTGGCTGCTGGCAAACGCAGGGAGCGAGAAGAGAGGAGAGCTTGCCCGTAGGGTGAGGAAGGAGGCACCACGCAGCACCCGGGAGGTGCTTGGTGGTCCTATAACCCCCCGGAGGTAAGTTTGAGCCTCCCAGGATGATCACAGCCATCCTGAAACCTCTTCCGGAGGGCTTGGATCTTGCCCAAGGGCTCCTCTGTGTCTCTTGGCTGCTTTCTTTGCCTGGCAGAGAGCGCTTTTACCGAGCGGCTCCTGAGCCTTGCATTTTGTGGCCACTCTCGTGCTGCAGACGTTTTACCTATTTTGCCCTTTTTTATTCACTCCTGTCGGCGTGAGTGCAGGAGCCGAGCTCTCCCCTTCCTGCCTGACCCTTGGAATAACTTCAGGAAGTCAGAAGAAAGCTCGAAAATGTGGTTATCCCTTCCTTCCCCCCCTCCTAAATTTTCTCCTTGAAAGCTGCAACCCCGAGATCTGTGGGGTCAGATGGCTGAAAAAAACAAAACAAAACAAAAAAAAGACAAAAAAAAACAAAGCCAGAAAGAAACCACAGCCAGGACTTTGGCTTGCTGGGTGCTGCGGGCAGACCTGGGCTGTTTCCTTGTCATTCCCCAGGCTGTTTTCACCCGTTTGGGAAAGCTCAGAAGGTTTTTGTGCCAGCTGGGAGGCTGGAAAGAAGCTGGGGGCTCATCTCTCTCTCAGTTATTGTCTCTAACTCAGTGCCTTGCTGCTCTTGCAGCCCTCTGTTGGGACTTCTGGGCTTTGTGGTGAGGCTGACAGCACCCAGAGCCAGACCTGAGCGCTGCTGCAGCCCCGTGGGGCCGTGCAGTGACACTTTCCTGCCTGGGGACATCCTGGGTGCAGCTGTTTTGTGGCCCTGAGCACGTGCAAGCTGCCCTAGCGGCGTCCTTCGCAGCGCTGCTGGAGCCTGGGGCGTGTTTGCTGGTCTGGAGAGGCGTTTTGAGACTCTTTTTGTCGTTTTCTCCGTGCTGATCCTCTGTTTCTTCCCTCCCAGTTCGTGAAGTTTGCCAACATCGAGGAGGACACCCCCTCCTACCACCGCAGCTACGACTTCTTCGTCTCCCGTTTCAGCGAGATGTGCCACTCCAGCCACGACGACCTGGAGATCCGGACAAAGTGAGTGCCACGAGTGTGCTGGGGGCCTTCACTGTGCCCCCAGCCTTTGTTTTTTTTCCTGGAGAAACACCTCATTTTGGGAGCAGGCTGCACGGACCGATTGCTTGGTGCTGTGATTCCCCAGAGCTGGGCGCTTTCAGGTTTAAAATCATCTGCTCTTCTCTCCCCTCCTTTATTTTCCCAACTTTAAGCCCTGCTGCCTCTCTGGGAGGATGAAACAAGCGTAGAAAATGCAGTGCAGCACATGAGAAAAGCCAGTTTGCATTTTCTGCCCTGGCAGCAGGGCCAGCTCCGCCCAGGCGTTGGCTTGCTGTGAGCACACGACAAGGGACAAACGCGCCCTTGGGCACAGCACGCTTGAAAACTTCTCATTTTGGGGCAAAACGTGGGCAGGCAGCACCTGCAGGCTGCCCACCTGAGCTGCCTCAGCGCCTCCCCAAGCATTTCTCACCTCTGCTCTAGGACAGCTCAAAGAAGGCAAGGAACCGACCCTGTTTCCCAGTTCCAAAAGGTGCTGGTGCTGGGAAGAAGCCCAGTTTTAGCAGAACGAAAGCACTTTCAGAAAGTGCCTCCTGCAGCTGCGGGCTGTTATTTTCCACCTTTAAAGGTGGCCGTGTCTCCAGACGGCGCTGAGCACCGACCCGGCTTTGCTGCGCTGGGAAACGTACCCTGAGGGGATTAATTAGGACGAAAGCAGACAGATTAATGTTGTTTACTGCTGCCAGAGCTCGCGGTGGCGTGTTGAAAAAGGCCCAGCACTTGAAATGGCTGCGTGCCTCCCCGCGAGGTGCTGATGGCACAGCACCGTGGCACCCGTGGCTGCTGCCAGGGGCGATTTTTAAGTGAAAGCAAGGTGTCAGGCAGCGTTTCTGCACAGCCTGGTGCTGTTCCTGGAGCTGCAGTACCAGGGACCAGCCCTTTTCCAGAGGGGTGAGCCCCTGAGGTTTGAAACCTTGAACCCCTAAGGTTTGAAACCCTGAACCTTTGAGGTTTTCTGCTCTTCTGGGGACTTCCAGCCTCCTGTCGCTGCTGCAGACTTGCAGGTCGCTTCTTTTCCTTAATCAGGAAGCAATGGCGAAGGCTCATTATTTCCGATTGACTTTTAGGGCCCTGCTGCTGATGCAGGAGGAAATTCGGCCTCTCCTGTAATTAAAAAGGAGGGCTCGGTGTTCCTGCGACCTTGCTGCTGCTCGGTGGTCCTTCAAGAACAGTGTCGTGGGCAGATCGTTGCCTCGATTGGGTCTGCAAATGTGTTAGGGAGCCCTCGGAGCAGGTTATTCAACGCATTTATTTCTACTCTCTGTCTTTCTTAGGCACTAGCAAAAGGTTTGGAGGGGCTGGTTTCAGACTTAGCTGCGCAGGGAGATTTTTCCTGATGACTTTGTTGATTAGGTCAAGAGCTCTGGACCCAGAAAAGACACGGGTGTCACAGCACATCTTGGTTTCCTGCTGTCCAGCATCCCTGGGGGTGTGGTGTGGCTATTGGGAACAGAGGAAGCAACAAAATCCTTCGTAAAAAACAGAACCAAATCCCTCGGGAGAGGCCGGTGCCACCTCTCCATCTGGGTTAGAGCGTGGCTGCAGCTCGCCTGGAGAAGGAAAGGCTGTGGATGGGAGCCGCCTGCTGCTGCCACAGCGATTTGGGTTGATTCAGAGCCTTTCCGGCTTGGATCTGTCGGTTTATAGGAAGCTGAAGCTGTGGGATGCGGGGCGGAGCGACATCCCTGGGGTGTACTGGGCACACAGCTGAGAATTGGGGCATTATTGGTGTGAACCCCTCCTTCAGGGCAGAAATCAGCACCTTTTCTCCAACTTCTTGTACAATTTCACCCCCGTGTGTATGTGTGTGTCTATAAACGTGAAGTTTTATCTACGGATATAGACGGGTAACCTTTTAATGTCGCTTTGTCCCCCAGGATCCGGATGTCTGGCATTAAAGGCCTGCAAGGGGTGGTGAGGAAGACGGTGAACGACGAACTCCAGGCCAACATCTGGGACCCGCAGCACATGGACAAAATCGTGCCCTCGCTGCTCTTCAACTTACAGCACGTGGAGGAGGCTGAGAGGTGAGGGCTCTGCCTCTCGGGGCTGCTTTCAGCCAGCTTTTTTTTTTTGGGGGGGACACCGTGGGCTGCTTTGTGCCTGCACCTGGTGTAAAAAAAAAGCTGCGGGTGGTCGGAGGGGAAGCCCTGCGAGTTTCCATGATGCAGATGGCAGGAGCTTTGCCTGGTACCTGGTGCTGGGAAGGTGATTGCTGGCTCAGCCACTGCAGGGCAGCGTGGTTCTTGTGGAGGAGAGCTCGCAGCACCATCCCTGCAGGTAGGACACGCTCTGTTTGCGAAGAATCCGAGCTGCCTGCTCCGTGGGCTGACCCCTGCGAGGATTTGTGCCGAAATGCTACCTGAGCAATTAGGTTAGAGCCAGGCAAGGGGAATGTGAGGAGCTGAAATAGAGCTCTGCCCCTCCGTTCTTGTGGCATAACCCCCTGCTGGCTGCCTGCTTGCCACCAGCTGCGTGTCTGAAGGGGAGTCGCTCAGCTGAGAAGCACAGAGTGGGGAAGCAGGCACGGATTTCTCCTGGGATTTTCCTTTTGAAGCTTAGGAGAGAGAGATCAGGCCTGGCAAGACAGCTTTTGGCCGGATGCAATCCCCTTTTTTCTTGTGAACTGAAGCAATGGAGTGGAAAAAAGGCGTTTGCTGTGTTCCTGCCATGCCACACGGCCCCAGCGTGGAAAAAGGGAGGGATCCCCTCTGGGGCGTGCGTGTTCAGCGAGATTTGTGCTGCGCCACGCCGCCTGCTTTGTTCTTCCTCCTCTGGGAGGCTGCGTCCCCCCTGGGAGACTGATAACATCCTGATAACTGAGTCTCCTTCCAGTCCCGGGGACGTGGGGGCTGTTCCTGCAGCCTGACACGGTGTGGGGCTGGGAACGGGGCCATCCCAAACATCCAGGGGGCCCTGTGATCCCTGTACCTGCAGCGCCCACCGATCTGGCTCAAACCCAGCACCAATTTATGCCTGGGCTGTGCCCCGATGCCTTCCTGGCAGGGTGACCCGTGGCAGCAGGGGCTCGAGGCGGATCCCACGACAGTTCTGCTCCATCCCCTCCCCGTCTGGGCTCCGTGCCTCTTCTCCCCCCTCTGCTTCTGCACGCTCGGCTCCACTCTTGTCGCCCTCCTCTGCTTTCACAGCCGCTCCCCCTCGCCACTGCAAGCTACAGAGAAGGAGAAGGAGAGCCCCACGGAGCTGGCGGAGAGGTGCCTGAGGGAGCTGCTGGGCCGGGCGGCGTACGGCAACATCAAGAACGCCATCAAACCCGTCCTCATGTAAGTTGGGCCTCCTTCTTTTTCGCCACGAGGGCACGGAGAAGCAGATGATGAGGGTTGGAGCTGGGGTGAAGGCACGTGCTCCTCTGGCAGCGTGCTGGAGGCGGTGAGCGGGCTTCAGGCTCTCCTTTTCGGATGCGTTGAGGGAAAATGGCACTGGATAGATACCTGTTGCTGAGAAAAATGGCTTCAGAGAGCAGTTGGTGGCCCTGCTCTCACCCGTGTCGCTTGCTCCCTGCTGCTCCTGGCTGTCCCCGGACACTGCGTGCCTCGGGGGACCTGCAGTTACCGTCCCCTTTTGTTTCCATCTCTTCCCCAGCCACCTGGATAACCACTCGCTCTGGGAGCCGAAGATCTTTGCCACCCGCTGCTTCAGGATCATCATGTACTCCATCCAGGTGGGGAGCTGGGGGGATTCCTGCCAGAGGCTGGGGCTGGGCTGAGTCAGAGCAGCTGCCGCATTGCTGCATCCTCACAGCGCCGACACCGAGCTCCTGCGATGGATCCAGCCCCCAAAATGTGCCCCAAAACAGGCTGCAGGCTGGCAGGGTGGGCTGGGGACCCCCCAGATAAATGTTGGGTGCCACCCGGGTGCGTTTTAGGGTGCCTGTATCTCAGTCCTGGCAGTGCCTGCCTTCTTCTCGGCAGAAAGCAAAGCCCTGCTGAATCAGACGGGTTGGCAGCAGGCTGTGAAACACTCTGAAGGAATCAGTCAGGCTTTGGGGGGGAAGCTGCCTCTTCCCAGATCACTGCCGTGGAAGTGAACCCCAGCTCCCTGTCCCTGCAGAAAAGGAGGGGTGGAAAGTCCTTAGACAGGGACAGAGCCTGCCAGACTCTTCCCCTTTTCACTGGGAGCCCTGGCTATGGAATTTCCATTTTGTTAACCCCCAAAATGAAGGAAAATGTCCTTTTTTTTTTTCCATGCACGTGTCCCTGTGTGATGATGGGCACAGTGCTGACTCCCCACGCTGCCGGGGCTGCCCCACTTCACCCCCTTGGCAGTTTGCTTTGCTGTTGGACTCAGCCAAGCCACAGCCCTGCTCGGGGAAGCAGTGCTCTGACGAGCACGTCGCCATCCCCCCACTTTCGTTTCATGTTTCTAATCCTGCAAATTGCCTAAAATCCTTTACAGCCCTGCTAGATTTTATAAAATCCTGTTAATGCCTGCTGGAGGTGTAGGGTCACAATAACTCAGCGGGACCCTTCTCCCTGAAATCCCCAGGATTAATCGTCACAATTTCCTTCGATCTCAACCGCTCTTCAGATCATTTTTCCTGTGCAAATTGCTCCGAGCTCTTGTAAAAACGACTTCCTCTGGGGGTGCCCTCTCGTTTTGCAGCCGGAGCTGTGTTGGAAAGAGCGAGGGACTCGGCACTGATGGACACACGCGCGGGATTTGTCCTCGGTGGCTCTGTGGGGTTACAGAAGCAGGTCGTTGCCTCGTGCACGTGGCCCCTGCGCTGATGTTCACGTTTCCCTTCCAGCCCCAGCACTCCCACCTCGTGATCCAGCAGCTGCTGGGGCACCTGGATGCCAACAGCAAGAGCGCGGCCACCGTGCGCGCGGGCATCGTCGAGGTCCTGTCGGAGGCAGCGGTGATTGCAGCCTCGGGATCTGTAGGTAGGTGCATGGGATCTGGTCCGGAGCATCCAGGAGAGCTGGGGATTTTTTGGGTGCTATTTCAGCGCACCTGAGCACGACACCCACATACGGCTGGCTTTAGGCAGCTGGGTGTGATGCCAGCCCTCTCTTTCATGCAGGGGGGCAAAGGGATTTTCAGGGCTCTTTTTCTGGGGCTTGCCCTGAATACACCGAGCTGCTGTTGCCCCTAGAAGTCTGTTTCCCTCCTATCTTGACCGATAGGTTTAAAACTTACCGTGTGTTTTGCCAAAAGGGTTTTCAATCTGTTAAACCACACCATCCTTAGGGAAATTAGAGGCTCCAGCTCCCTGGGAAGAAGCACGGCTCTCTTCTGGCCCAGCTCTCCCATCTTTTCTTCGCAGGTCCCACGGTGCTGGAGGTGTTTAACACCCTGCTGAGGCAGCTGAGGCTCAGCATCGACTACGCGCTGACGGGGAGCTACGACTGCACCGCGGGCGTCAGCACCAAGATCATCAAGGAGCACGAGGAGAGGATGTTCCAGGAGGCCGTCATTAAAACCATAGGTGGGGCTTCCTGCGGCGCCTGGCGCTGTGCTGGGGTGGGAGCTTTCTGCCTCTGCGTCTCAGGGTTGAAACGGAATCCCCCCCGTCCTAAAAACAGCCCTGGGAAGTGGGATTTATCCCTTGTGTGGCTGTGGGTTATCGCCAGGTGGCATCGCAGCCCCAGCAATCCCCGGAGGAGCTGCGGTGTGAGGGCAGAGCCGTGCTTCTCCCCGGGTGGGAGACCCTGAGGGAGGAAGGAAAGGAGGAGGAAGAGGGCAGGTAGAGCCTGCTGGAGCTGGTGAGGGTGGGGATGTACCCAAAAAAAAGGGGTTGGAGGCAGGGCTTGGCTTCTCTCAACCTGAGCCTGGGGCTTTTCCTCCTGTTTGGATGGGTTTTGAATCACCTGGAGGAAAATCTGCCTGCAGGTACCAGATCCGGGGAGGCTTTCTCCTTATCCCAGCCTGGCCGAGGGCTGGATTGGAGCAGGGTGGGCTGGCCGACCCCACAGTCCTCTTACTTTTAGGGCAGCGTGTCCTGTGGGTGGTGGGCTGTGCTGCACGAGTTTTCAACGTGTCCTTGTCCCCTCAGGGTCCTTCGCCAGCACGCTGCCCACGTACCAGCAGTCCGAGGTGATGGTTTTCATCATGAACAAGGTGCCGCTGCCGTCCTCGCAGCAGTCCATCGAGGCTGGCAAAGCTGGGTGAGAACGGGTGCCTTCCTCCCTCCTCTTCCTCTCCCCTGCCCTGCTCTCCTTCCTCTGCCCCGTGCCTGGAGGCAAAAAGCTTCGAACGTGGGGCTGGAAGTACTGGGGAGCTCCTGAAACTTCCCACTTTTGGGGACGAGGTGGGAGGTGGGTTATTTTATCTCCATTTATCTCAATATTTTATTTGATCTCAATTTTATCGATATTTTCTTTGATCTCAATATTTTATTTCCATTATTGGAAAGTCTGAGCATCAAGAGCTTCCACCAAGGGGAGTTGAGGAACATGAGACCCTTGTTCAAAACCCTTTGCTGTCTGCTGCAGCCATGATTACCAGGTTTTGAGGTCCTTAGAAACACATTAAGGGGGAAAGGCATTTACAGGCAGTGAAATTCTGCTTTTCTTTGGGCACCAGGAAGATTTGGGTAAGGAGCTTTGTTTGCCCTGGGGTGCCATCCAAAATTAGCAGGGGAGAAAGAATAAAACTCAGGGGAGTGACTTCAGACAGGGTGCTTAGAGCAGCGAGGCGGCCGTGGCTTTTGAGGAGCTTATGTTTTTGAGCAGCTTATGGCTTCGTGGGGCCAGCTGCTCCCTGCTGCCTCCCCACCCTGTTTTTGGCCCCTCCGAGCTGCCTCCAGGCTTTTATTGCCGCGGCGTGGTAGGCTGCGGGGGAAGAGAGGGGAAGGAAAACACCCAAACAACACAATCTCTTGAGGAGTGCTGGAGCCGAGTCTGAGAGCTATTTGGAGCGAGGGTAGCGGCGCTGAAACGTGGAGGTAAAGAGCGAACAGATTTCCTGGCTATATTTATCCCCAGAGCGTGGTCAGGCTGTTCCCACTTGTTTCTGTGTGGCAGAGAGGCTCGGGCTGATGGGAGACGTGCTCTGCTCCTCTCTCACGTGGGGGTAGCTCCTGGTTCGATCCCGATTCCTGTCGTGAGAGACGTGCTGGGCTCCCCGGGCTGTTCAGCAGCTCTCTTTGCAGGAGCAGGATCGTGCCTGTAGCCCCCTGCTGCTTCTCAGCGTTTCTGTGGCCGTGCCAGGCTGTTTGTCACCGCTCCTTTACCAGCTCCTGAGCTTCCTCCAGGCAGAATTTTTAAATCCCAGGAGATGTGAGGGCTGGTGCTTGCTATGGAATGTCTGGCTGAACCCAACCAGCAGCTTGCAGAGGAGCTGCAGCTTGTGGTTCCACCTCGGGGAGTGCTGCCTCTTGGGGTGTAGCAGGTTTTGGTGATGGGACAGTCTGGAAATCCCTCCAGAGCTCCATGTGTCCCTTTCTTCCAGTAGAAGATTGAGTTCAGACAGGAAAGACTTCAAGATTTCTTCTCTTTGTTAAACCTAGTGCTCATTTTTTAGGGACTTTGACAGCGCAGCTGTGTGCAGTGGCGACTTCCAGGACGCTGCTCCTGCCCTTTGAGGCTTCTCTGTTCTTTGGGGGTGTGGGAGGAGGGTTGTTTGGTTTGGCCCATGGCTTCTACCATTTATTTCTTCTCTCCCTGACAGGGAGAACCGAAACCGGCTGACGCAGATCATGCTCCTGAAGTCCCTGCTGCAGGTATGAAGCTGTCCCTGTCCCTGCAGGCGTGCCCAGCCCCTTCAAGGCCTGCTGTGAGGGTCCTGAGCTCAGAACCTCTCTCCCCAGGGGTAGTTTAGGAAGAGCTCCATCTCTACTTAGTTTTTTTCTGCCTGCATCCCCTTTTTACTACTGTATTTTAACCCCCTGAGTGGCACTTTCCCCTTCCCTGCCTCTTTTTTCCTTGATGCCTGCAGGTCTCCGTGGGCTTCCAGTGCAGTAACATGCTGACGGCGCTTCCCAGCGCCTTCCTGGACAGGCTGCTCTCCTCTGCCCTCATGGAGGATGCTGAGATTCGCCTCTTCGTCCTCGAAATCCTCATCAGCTTCATCGATCGCCACGGCAACCGGCAGAAATTCGCCACCATCAGGTCCGTGCCCGGGGCTCCCCGGTGGGGCTGGGACCCGCAGACCCCACAGAGCAGGATTTGGGGAGGGAGATCTGCCAGGTTTAAGGGTGCCGGCAGGCTTGGGAGCTGCTGGAAGAGATCTTATTAAATCATGTGCCAATTTTTGGGGTGGTTTAATGCTGCCGGGAGCCAGAGGGGTGTGGGGGCCTCTCTGTGCCCAGGGGGATGTGGCACGAGCGTGGTCAGGCAGAACTGCTCCCAGGAGGATTTGCAGGAGCAGTGATATCCTCGAGGGGGTTCATCGACTGCATTGCATCCCCACAGATAGCCCTGCTGGGTGGCGCTGCGCTGCATTTAGCTAGCCTTACTCTGGAGAGGAATGAAGCTAAATCAGAAGAAGGTGACTAATCTCACATGGAAATAAACCTCCATGGGGTTTGCGGTGGTCCTGCTAAAAGTAGCCTGCGTGCATGCTGCTTCGTCAACTTGCCTTTGTGTTCCTGAGTGCCACTGCCTTGAAATCCTGTAGTGATTTGGCTCTTCTTGAATATCCGAATTGCTCACACGGGTTTTGAAGCCAACCTTCAGCTTCCCCACCCTTGGTTCCTCCCGGAGGGCTTGTTCCTGGCCAGAGCTCTGCAGGCGTGTGGGAATCGTGCAAACCTCCTCCTCTCTGAGTTTTCCCTTTCCCCTTCCTTGCAGCACCATCAGCGACATCTCAGTCCTGAAGCTGAAGGTGGAGAAGTGCTCGCGCCAGGATACTGTCTTCATGAAGAAGGTAGAGTTGGGGTTTGAGTCGAGCTGTCCTTACACAGACCCGTGTGGGAACAGTGTCTGGGTTTCCCCAAGCTACAATAGGGACCTGGGGTCCCATGAGACCACTAAACCCGGGGATATCCTCGGGAAAAGCCAATGGGATTTGTCCACGGGCCTTTGTACACCTCTAAATCTGCTATTTGCCCCGAGAAATGGCTATTCCAGGATGTGCTGGTGTCCCAAATGCTGCTTATCAAGTGATTTTTAAATTTGCCTGTTGTTTTTTTCATTATTTTTATTTCTCCCAGCTTTTTGGCGGTGAAACCACCACCTGGTGGTCACAGCTGCCTCTCCCGGGGCTTTTTTCATTTGCTTAGTGATCTAAAGAGCTCTGGATCACCATGAATGGTGGCCCCTTTGCTGGGCCCTGCTGCTTTTCTTTTTTTTGTGTCGATGGAAGCGTTGTTTGCAGAGGATTCTCAGTAGGTGACCGTGTCCCTCCGTGTCCCAACAGCACGGCCAGCAGCTCTACCGGCACATCTACCTGATCTGCAAGGAGGAGAGCAACGTGCAGGCTCACTACGAGGCTCTCTACAGCATGCTGATGCTCATCAGCATCGAGCTGGCTAACGAGGAGGTTGTGGTGGACCTCATCCGCCTGGTGCTGGCGGTGCAGGTGGGCAGATGGGAAGCTGGGCGTGCTGCTGGTGCGGGGTGGGCCGGGATGCTCCTTCCCCAGCGTCTTCCCTGGCTTCGTCCCCTCCAGGTGTAATCTCTGCAGGTGTGGCTACGCTTGGGAAGAGGCAGTGGAGGAAATGAAGGAGCCTTTGGGAGGGGGATTTATTTTGGAGCTGGGGTCTCTGAGCACGGGGGATGCAAATTCCTCACCCGTTTCTTCTGCCGCAGTGGGATCAGCTCTGCACTTGCAGGGATTGATCCTAATCAGCGTGCCAGCTTCTGCTCCAAAAGCTGAAATGTTTGCAGGTTGCTGGTGCTGGGAGGTGGGTGGGGACCCCCCTGGGACCTTGCCTGTCCCCGTCTCATGGTTTTCTGTCTCTCTCTGCTGCAGGAGATCGCCCAGATCAACGAAGACAACCTGACGGCGTACAACCGCTGCGCGCTCTTTGCCCTCGGAGCAGCTTACCTGAACCTCATCAGCCAGCTCATCACCGTGCCCACCTTCTGCCAGCACATCCACGAGGTGCGAAGGGCTCGGGCTGAATCCTTGCGTGCTGCAACCCCCACAGCACCTGCGAGGTTTGAGCTCGGTTCCTTGCCTTCCGCAGGTCATCCAGATGCGGCAGAAGGAGGCTCCCTATCTGCTCCCCGAGGATGTGTTCGTGGAGAGACCCAGGTGAGAGCCTCTGCTGGAAAAATCCTCTTCCCTGCCAGCTGATCCTGAGGACTCAGCACCTATAGGAGTGGTAGAGTTGATCAGCTCTTTGTGTGCCTCTTCTTGTCTTCCTTTCCCATCTGGGGATGGCATCGAGTGTTCTCCATCCTTTTTTTGGATACGAGGAGAACCCTGTGCAGTCAGGGAAGGGTCCAGCTGCCAAAGCTGGCACTCCCAGCTGGCTGTACACCACTGTGTCCGGAGATACCGTGCCATTTCGTTTAGAGGGGACTGTTAGTGTTAGGTTAGAGGTTGGACTCGATGATCTTAAGGTCTCTTCCAACCTAGAAATTCTGTGATTCTGTGATTTCCAGCTGTGGTGACACTAAGTGGAGCCACGTGAGCCCACTGTTCCTGACCAAAAGGGGCTGGAAACCTCCCGGTGCTGTTCCCTAAGCAGAAGAGGTGCTCCCATTTCCCCTGGGCTTCATTTTTCTGTTTTTTTTTGTTTTTTTTTTTTCCATCCCTGTAGGTTGAGCAAGAGCCTCGACCGCCTGGGCCCGGAGGTCTTCTTTTGGCAGAGCAAGATCAGCGAGGTGCTGGGGGGCAGCGGCTACAACTCGGACCGCCTCAGCACTCCCTACGTCCCCCAGCTGACAGGTACGTGCTGCCCTGGGGTGCAGGAGGGCTGTGGGGCAGGAAACCAGTCCCTCATTCCGCACAGTAACGGGGATTTGAAGTCCTTGTGCCACACGTGGGCCCGGTGTTTGCTCTGCCTTCCCTTAGAGGCGCAATTTTGGGGAAACTGAGGCACAAAACTCTCAGGTGGGAGCTTTCTGGGGTCGCCACGTGCATGGCTGGACTGATGGAGCCACGAAACCTGCTGGGCTTGGGTGAATTTGGGTGAAAACCTGAGCAGACTGGCTGCTACCCTGGGGGAGGGGACACGAGGCACATCTGGGGGTGCCGGGGTGGCTGCCATCAGCTCTTCTGCCCGTTTTCTTCCTCCCCAGATGAAGATCGCCTGTCCAAGAGGAAGAGCATCGGTGAGACCATTTCCCTGCAGGTCGAGGTGGAGTCTAGAAACAGTCCTGAGCGAGAGCAGGTACCGTGAGACAAAAAATCTCAATGATTTTCCTCAGACAGGACCTTCTGTGGAGCTATTTTATTCCTGATTGCTAGGGCGGGCGTCCTGTCAATCAGGAGCACATTTTAGTAAACAAATCCTAACCTTTTATTCCTTATTCCTCGGCACCCGATCACCTCCCATTTCCTCATGGCTGAGTACTACAGGTTCACAAGCTGCTCGACGCTCCTCTACACCATATACGTCCAATTTTTCTTTTTGTTAATCCTTTAATTTCTCCTTTCTTATGTTTTGAGAACCCGTGATCTTTGTTTTACTGTTCTCCCACTGCTCATCCTGTTTGTCTCAAGCTTCCACCTTATTTTGGAACAGCGAGGCCTTCTGCTGGCCACTTATCTACTCAGCATTTCTCCAAACTACCTTGGAATACAGAAAATCAATTCTTTACTGCAAAAACACAACTTTGTTTCTCACAACCAGGGTTGCAGAGGCTGCATTGTCCCTTCGGTGCTGTTTTAGCAGCCTGGCAGCGTGCAGCTGAGTTAAAATTCTTCATTTTGGCTGCATGTTTGGCTGGCCGTGAGCTCAGGGGTGTATAACTCAGCCCTTTTTGGTCTGGCAGCAAGTTGGGGGGCAGAAAATCCCCGTTTCCCACTGCTGATCCCCTCTGGGTGCTGATGGATCCCAGCGTGCACAGCAGGAAGGGTCTCACACTGCTTTTTTTGGTGGCAAATCTTTATTTTCCTAGCATGTGTGTTTCTTAGCCATGGGAGATGTAAGGCCAGGGTAGTCCAGCCTGAAAAAGCACTTGAAAAGTACAGGTTGCCAGGAGCTCCCTGTCCTTTAAGGCTGGGCTGTGTTTTGGTGCCAGAACGCAGCCCCAGCGCTGCTTCTGGGATGCTCTGACCCCAAAAGCGTGTCCTGTGCTGCGTATTGAGCCCCCTCTGCTTTTCCCTTCCCTTTAGAGAGCACCAGCAGAAGAGATCACCTATGAGACGCTGAAGAAGGCCATAGGTAAGTGAGGAAGAGGAGGAGGCTGATGTGTTTTGGGGAGGGTTTTTGGGTAGAGTCACCCCTCTGTGTGCATACACCACGGACCCACAGGGCTCTGCCACAGCAGCATTGCCCCCAGGTTGTAGGGTGGCCAGGCAGCTCCATCTCCCTGCCCCCGGGGTGTCCCCGAAGACCCATCCTCACCTTTTTTAGGGCTGCCCAAATCCTTCGAGGTTTGGGGAGCACCTGAGAGCCATCTCCCCTCTGCTTCAGTAGACAGCGTCGCCGTGGAGGAGCAGGAGCGGGAGCGGAGGCGCCAAGTGGTGGAGAAATTCCAGAAAGCCCCCTTCGAGGAGATCGCCGCTCACTGCGGCGCCCGGGTGAGTCCCCACACCTAAATCCCCACAATCTGGGGAGTTTGTGGCTCTGGGAGAGGTGGAAGGTGGCGATGAGGCTCTGAATTTTGCCAAGCCACCCTCCTCCTTCCCCGGGGAAGGCCGGCGGGGTGTTTATCCTGCCGGGGCTGCAGTCCCGGGGGGGTGCAGCTGCACTAACGCAGCCGCCGCGTGTGTTGCAGGCGACGCTGCTGCAGAGCAAACTCAACCAGATCTTCGAGATCACCATACGGTGAGATGGGGAGAATCCCCCTCGTGGTGCTTTTTGGGTTCTGGGAATGGGTGCTGGCCCGGGGCTGGGGTGTCTGTGATGGCACAGGGTCGCTGGGTTTGTTTTTTTTTTGCTTTTGGTTTGTTTGCTGCAATTCCCCACGGCTTTGGGACACGGGAGAGGTTTGAAGCGGTGTAAAAATTCATGATTTTTTGCAACAGGCTTCGCTTCTTTATAAAACAACCCCGTAAAACGCCTCCCTCCCTCTCTCCTCTTTCAGGCCACCGCCGAGCCCGTCGGGAACCATCACAGCTGCCTACGGCCAGCCCCAGAACCACTCCATCCCGGTGTACGAGATGAAATTCCCGGACCTGTGCGTGTACTGAGGGCGGCTGCGCTGCTAGGACGGTCGAAGGACCTCTTGGGGAGACAGCGCCGGCCCCGCGGGGACCGCGTCCTCGTGCATGTGACAGAAAGGGACACGGACACCGAGGCTACCCCGAGCTTCCTTGGCACCACGGACCTGACTCCCGGACTCTCTTTCGTGACCCTCTGCAGCCACGTTTTTTGGCAGGAGGTGCGGGGAGGTGTCGTGGTTCTGCCCTCCCTCTGCAGTTCTGCTTTTGGGGAGGAGAGAGGAGAGAGGGGCTGGCTCCTGGCGGACAGCATCGGGCGCCTAAATCCTCCCAGCACAAAGCCAAACCCGATCCTTGGGGAATCCCTCCCCAAATCATCCATCAGCCACAGCCAGAGCCCCCGGCGAGGGTGCAGGAGGAAGCTGCAGGGTGTGGGAGTGGAAAAAAGCAGGAGGGGACGCAGGGCGCAGCGTGCCCCGTGCTCCAGGCAGGTCTCTGGGGTCGCGCAGTCCCCGCAGCCAGCTCCTGGCCTGCGTCTTCCTGGCAGCTGCCCTGGTGCGGGGCAATTCCCCGAATTTTCCTCGAAGCTGCCCTTGATGTCCTGGCCAAGAGGGTGCCCGGTGCGACACGAGGGTGGCAGTTGTCCCATCACGGATGTGGATGCTGCACGCAGCAGCCTGGCTGGTCCCAGGTCACCTGAAAACATGTTTTATTTGGGAAAACGCTTTTTTTTTTTGCTTTTTTTTAATTTTTTTTTCGAGGAGGGGAGCTGTGCTTCTTGTCCATGCCATCAGCAGGCAGCGTGCGGGCAGTGGGGCGCCCGGAGCCGTGGCACGAGGCGTGAGGAGCAGCCACGCTGGGACTTGGCAACCATTAACCAGCTATTTTCACATTTTCGGTTCAGAATTTCACAGTTTTGGCGTTACGGCCTGAAGAGATTTATTTTTTTTAACAGAATCCCTCTGATTAATCCTGGCTCAACTCAGAAAACACGAGCGCTGCGGGAAGGTGGCTGCAACGAGAGGGGTTTTACGGGGTCCCACCTTCAGACCCTGCACCTGGCGGGCTGTGGATCTGGATTTGGACTGGGGAGAAACGTGGCTGTTGAGTTTTTTTCTGTAGACACGGGATAGAAAAGACCCTCGGGGGAGAATTTGGGATCCTTTTGGCTCCTGCTGAGCCAGAATTGCAAGCTGGAGATGGTAGGGATGGGGAAGAAAAGGACGCCTGGGAGGCATTCGGTAATTTACAGGGTAAATCTTGCTCCCAAACGCCTTCCAATTTTAGGAGGGTCTGAAATTGGGGACGTGGGGGCTGCACGTGGCACAGGGCCAGCAGGAAAACTCAGCCACCTGGTGGCCTCAGCACCTCTGCCTGCATCCTGCTCCTCGTTTCGGCCGTGCCACGTTTCCCTGCCACGTCTCCCCGCGGTTATTTTAAGCTGTAATTACACATTGACATCTTTTTCTTTTATTTTTTTTTGGTCTTTTTTTTTTTCTTTTCTTTTCTTGGTGGCGGATACGGTTTGTGACTGCCCCGAGGTCAGCGCTTGTTTGTGTGGTCGTCCTGTAAATCCGGGTTTAGGAAATGACCTAGCTTAAAGAGGACAGGAAAAAAAAAACAAAAAACAAGGGTGGATTTCGGTCCCGGAGCTGCCTCGTGGCACTTCCCCGCTCCCAGCAGGGCTCTGCCACCCTGCCCAGCGCCCGAGGCTCTGTCCCTTGCTGCTGCCCCTCTTTGGGGTCCCCCCCCGTGTTTCTGTCCCCCGTTCCCGTCCCTTTTTGCTCCCCGGATTCCGCCCGGTCCCCCTTGGAGCCTGGATTTTGGCTGGGTGAGATTTTGGGGCTGCCAACGGGAACGCAAAGAAGCCGCTTGGCCGAGGAGGGGTTGTTCCCGTTGCTGCCCCGATGGAAATGCAGTAGGAAAAAAAGCACCGAACCCCCAGATTGTGTGCTTGGGGGGGGGGAAAACCCCTCCCAAAACACAAAGAAGAGGGGAAAGAGAGCTGTGGGGCTGCTACGGGGCACATCCTGGGGGACCCGCTGCCATTTGGGGCTCCCAGCCTGCATGTTACCCCATGGACAAACCCCTGGTGAGAGGGGGGGGATTTCCACGAGCCCCCCCTGCTCCCTTGCTGCACCCTCTCCTCCTTCCCTCCCCAAAATCGATGCCTTTCGGGCCCCCCAGCTCCACTTGTAAATGTCCCCCCCGTGTCAGTGACCCGTTTGTACGTCACCTTTAGTTTAGATTCTGGTGCGTGGATAGATGACAAAAATATATTTCTATCAACCTGGCCCTTAGGTGCATGTGTGCGTTCCTACATCTGTATTTTGGGGGCACTGTGGGGTTTTTTTACCCCCCCCCACCCCGTGTGTGTGTGTGTAGCCGAGGGCAGGAGGGGAGCGGGCTGCCGAGAGGGCCACGAGGCTGTCGGGATTTCCAAACGTGCCCTCGAATAAATGTTGATGTTGCCATCTTTTTGGGGGGTCTGCTGGTTTTTGGGGTCTGCTGTTTTAGGATCTGCTGGTTTTTGGGGTCTCCTGGTTTTGGGGTCTGCTGATTTTGGGGTCTGCTGTCTCGGCACGTCCACGGCACCTGCGTGCCCTCTCCTTAGGGGCTGGAGGAAGGGGTGAGGATTTCTTATTCCTCTTCCAGGTAAATTCTGCTCTTGCCTCGCATCCCTGCAGTTAAATTCCCTGCAACTTCGCCTCTCTCATCCTGTGGCATCCCCTCATTTAATATTTCCTCCGTTTTCCCCCGACCCTGCAATCTGGGGGAAAAAAGTTTAGCAAAACGTGGGGCCTGGGCTCATTTCTGCCCCTGGTTTGGCTCCCTTGCGAGCTGCAAAGATCAGGAAATTATTCAGGTTGGAAAAAAAACCTCCAAGATCAGCACGGAGCGGGCTGTGCCCCATAAAAAAAACCCTTTATCCCCATCCCCTCTGCTTTCATTGCACCTCCACACACCAGAAAATGCTTTATAAATGTTGCAGCTTTCCTTCCTACCTAGGAATCTTCGTTTTTGTCATTTAGAGGGAAATTAATGACTTTATTACAGTCATTAAACAAAAAACATTAAAAAAATAATAATAAATAAACAAAACACCAAACCAACCAGCCCCAGAAACATCACGGACACCCGGCTAGCTTGCCAAAAAAAAATAATCATCATCATTTTTTATTTTAGAATCCTTTTAATCCATCATTTACAGTATTGTACAGCTCGGTGAAGGGATGGAAAGGACCCAGCGCCGGCACCGCCGCTCCCCGGGGGCGCCCGGTGGCTGCGTTGCCACCTTCGCCCCGGCCCCGCTGGGTTTTGGGGTGGGAGGACGAGGGCAAATCCTTCACCTGGGGTGGGAGGAGGACGAGGACAAATCCCTCGGGCGGGGCTTTGCGAGGGCGAAAAATCCACGAGGTTCTCGGCGAGACGAGGAGCGACGGCACTAAAAAAGCTACGCGGGGGCCGCGGCGAGGTGGGGACGAAGAAGGAGGGGGGGTCCCCGGGGACGGGGGGGGGGTGCCCCTGCCCCCGCTCACTGCCCCTTTTTGTAGGCGTTTTTGATGATGGCGTTTTTGAACAGAGTCACCAGCGGGGTCTGGCCGTGCTCCGAGGTCATGAAGCCGCCGTAGCGCTTGTCCTTCAGCGGCGCGTGCCAGCGGAAATGGCGCATGCGGTAGGAGCCGCTGTCCTTCTTCTCCTCCTCGCCTTCATCCTCCTCCTCCTCATCCTCATCCTCCTCGGAGAAGCCCGGGAGCCCCTCGGCCCCCAGCTGGCGCCGAAATTCCAGCGGGTAACTCTCGGCCGACTCCTCGTCCACCCCGTTGGGGTACACCTTGATGGGTCTCCTCTTGCGCCCCACCGGCTTCCCCCAGCGAAAATGCTCCATGGAGTACGAGCGCTTGCCTTCCTCCCTCCCCAACCCGGCTCCTTCTTCCTCTCCTCCTTCCTCCTCCTCCTCTTCCTCGGCCGCTCGCCGGGGCGGCGGGGGGCCGCCGGCCGCCTCGTCCCGCTTGTGGCCGCTGCTGCTGTTGCGGCGGCCGAATTTGTTCCAGCGAAAGTGGCTCATCACGTACTTGCGGACGCTTTCGGAGAGGGGCTGCAGGTGCCCGTTCCCCGGGTACATGGGCGCCTCGGCTGACAGCTCCGCTCGGCACGCCTTGGCGCACGCCTGGGGGGGGCCAAAAGGGGGGTGGGAGAGCTGAGTCGGGATATCGGGGACGTTGGGGACATTGGGGACATCGTTGTGTCCCCCCCATCCTCTCCGGGATGTGGATTTTGGAGCTCGTTTCCCAATGCCCGGTGCCACCCCTGCGTCCCCAATCCCTTGGGGGTGCCCAAGGCCAGGCTGGATGGGGCTGGGGACACCCTGGGCTGGGGGCTGGGGTTGTGCCCATGGCAGGGGGTGGCACTGGGGGGGCTCTGGGGGCTCTTCCAACCCAAATCACCCAAAACCCAGTGCAGCCAAGAGGCAGGAACCCCCCAAAACCCTTTTGGGGCACAAAACCCCCTTGGGGCACGGAGCCCCCTTGGGGCATGGGGCTCAAAGCATCACCCTGAGGTGGTGACCCCACAGGACATCATCCCCGCCGCCCCCTCCCCACCCCACCCCCATTTCTTGGGGTAGAAACCCAAACAAGCACAGGGACCCCCCCCAAAACCTTACCAAAACCCCGTTCTCGGTGGCCAGGTCCTGGCATTTGCTGCTCTCCCAGCACGGGCCGCTGGCAGCAGCGGGGTGGCCGAGCAGCAGCCCCAGCACCACGGGCAGGATGCTCCAGAGCGCGCCCCACATCCTGGCCGGGGGGGGATGCGGGCACGAAACTACGGAAAAATGGGAGAAAGACAAAAAAAAAA